TCGCTTCTGTCCCGTTACACCGTATTTGGGTGGAAGCGAGGACACTGTGGGCTATATGTTAGGGCTACTGACACGTGCTTATCCTCATTATGTAGCCATCAATAAGGGCTATAAGATGATGCCAAGAAATTCACTCGCTTCCGTATTTTTGGTGGAGATATGGCCTCGCTTCCATGTCCAGGTCCTGCTCACTTGTGATGGAAGCGAGAGAATTGTGAGAGAACTAGCACAGCCACTGGCACGAAACAACCGCCATTACGTAGCTATCAATGAGGGCTATCAGAGTGTGTCATAATATGTACTCGTGTCCATGGTTATGATGGAGATATGGCCTCGCTTTCATCCCATTACACCCCCTTTCAGCGGAAGCCAGAACTTTGTGGGCTATATATTGATGCTACTGACACGTACTTATCCTCACTATGTAGCCATCAACGAGGGCTATAGGATGATGCAAAAAAAATCACTCGCTTCCATAGTTTTGGTGGAGATATGGCCTCGCTTCCGTGCTCGCTTCCATTCGCTTCCGGCATCCTGAGCTCAGGATGGGGTTTTATAGAGATAGTGTGCTCCCAGAACGCGATGCCCGTCTCCTCGAAGCACCGCAGCAGCGCCTTGACGTGCGCTTCCTGGACGTGCCGGTTGTTGAAGTTGCCCCAGTTCTTCGGCGGCGTGCTCGACACCATGTCCAGGTATCCCTCCCCGAGGAACATCGCCTCCACTTCCGCCTCCACCTTCACGTCCCGCCGCAACTGCACCGACTTCGGGTCGATCAAAATCGGCCGCGCCGTCTCCGCGACAATCTTCTTGGGCACTGCGGCTTGCTCGCGCGCGTCCTCTTCCTCCCCTTCCGCGTCGTCGTCCGAGTCGCTCTCCTCCTCCCCCATCTGTAGAGTTTTCGCGCCGCAGTTAGTAGTTTAGACTTTAATGATAACCTTTGTGACGTACCGCCTTTGATGCCGCCCCCGGATCCTTCCCATCGCCTTCATCGCCCGCTTCCTGTTCGCCTCCAACTGGCGGAAGCCGAGGGACCGCTTCTTCGCGCTGCTTTTTGCGCACGTTCATAAGCGCCACTGCGCTCGAAGGCTTCTTACCGGCCATTCGGAGAGTTCGAGTTGTCGCCCAGTTCAGATGTAGAGTTGTCGCCCAGAGAGACAGCGCTCAGAGTGACAGATCGCAGAAAGAGCAGAGTTCACCCGACGCGCGGCCTGGCGCCACCGTACGCGCGTCTGCCGCATGGCTCGCACTGCCACACGCCACACGCCACGCGCGTTTCCCCCTCCAAGATCTACTGCCCTCAGATCCCTACGCCACCGCTCTCCTCCCCTTTCCTCGCATACCTCTTTCTCTTTCTCCCCCTCTCTGCTATACATATCTCCTGGACACCACTGTTCGCAACACTATGCTACCTACCATTTGCCGCCACTACCCCACCCCCGAGCGAGCTCGCTATCCCATAGACTGGCCACCACCTATAGGTATAATTTGGCACACTGAGCTCAGTGGCCAGATACAAATAGGGCAGATTGAATACAAGCACATTTGCCAGAGTTCTATACATCCAACATGGCTGGTTTTTGTTTTTTCACATTGGGGCACATCTATTCTATCCTGTCTCGTTTTTCCGAGCCTATCTGTGCTCAGTTCGAGGCAGGGCAGTGCATGCACGGGAACAACACTCTTGTATTGGTCCAATCGCTGTAAGCGCCGGTAGCACCGCCACCTTGCCGCCCGCCGCAGATGCTGGTGAGCGTGAAATGACGCAGAATTGGTGTAACGCGGTTCATGGCATATTCCTGTGGACGTTATTTTGTTTTCAATAACTATTATTATAGTCCCATATTAGTGCTCCCTTGCTCAAGTTGTTTAGTAGCTATAGCTATAGCGGTCGTGAAGATAATCTGTTGTATGCACTGGTGCATCACCATGAACAAGACCGTACCACCCTTTGCGAAACCCTGATAACTCGAAAACAAGGACAGCTGGACTATTGTGTTGGGAACAATATATGTAGCCAAGATGCAGGCGGCAGAACTGCAAGAGCGGCGTAGTTGCCCATGGGCCGGCGAGCAAAAGGTGCTCCATTGGAGAGAGGAATCGGGCAATGCTAGTAAACGGGCGCTGCATAGCCATAGCATGCTAGGTATGCGAGGAAATGTGAGTTGGCGAGGGAACTTGTGCGTAAGGCACACTGTGTACAATCTATCAGGGTTGAACCAGACACCTCGCCGCCCCACCCGCCCCGCCGTCCGAGCACGCAGCTCACCCGCGGTAATAATGCGACGGGACGAACGGCATCGGGGTGAGCACCGCTTTCCGCTGCTTCCCGCGCACGTCGACCGCGAGCTCTGTGCCCTTCTTGTGGAAGCCGTTCTTGACGTAGCCCATCGCGATGTTCTTGCCCAGCGTCGGCGACGGGATTCCCGACGTCACCACACCTGGTTCAGACGGCGCGCGTGTCAGCATGCATGCGCGACGCTCGAGAAAATCTGCACGTACCGATCTGCTCCTTACTCTCTGGATCGAGGATCTTCGCGCCCTCTGTAGACTCGCGCACGTGAATAAAGGCGAGCCATAGACGGACGGGAATGCAAAACGTACCTCGCGCGGGCGGACCCTCGACGATCATCCCGACACGCCTGCGCGGGGGTCCCTCCTTGAGCTGCTTCATGACGTTCTCATGGCCGTGGAAGGTAGGGTTCTCCCGCCTTCTTTTGCCTACCCAGCGCATCAACATTGCGCGCTCACCCGCGCATAGTAGAGGGCTCACCGATAACCCAATTTAGGCTCGCCTCGACCGGCGTCGTCTTCTCGTCGAGGTCGTGCCCGTAGAGGCACATGCCAGCCTCGAGACGCAGGCTGTCGCGCGCGCCGAGCCCGGTGAGCTGCACGGGGGACTTTGAAAGCAGCTGTGCTACCTCGACTGTTTCCGATGGCGAGATAGAAATCTATGGCGGGGTCAGTGAGCCGCGCGCGACGCGAGTACATTGGCGCAGAAAAGGGGCGGACCTCGAAGCCGTCTTCACCGGTATACCCGCCGCGGGCGACATGCAGGTTGAAACCCTCGATGGGGATCCACGCGCACTTGCCGAACGTCAGCTCGCGCAGGTCAAAGGACGTGAGTCCCTGTAGGTAATTAGCCGCCTCCGGTCCTACACGGCGCACATACTCAGCATCCCTCCGCTCGCTCTCAGGACCTGTACGTACCTTGCAGAGCGAGCAAGCCCCAGTCCGCGAGTATCTCAAGCTCTACAGGGTCATGCTTCGCATTCCACTCCTTGATCGCAGTCTGGAACCAGGCAATATCCCGCTCGCGCCGGCCGGCATTCGTGACGACGTAAAACGCGTCCGGGGCGTGCTTGGTGATCATCAAGTCGTCGATGATCCCGCCGTTCTCGTTGAGGAGGACGGATAGCGTGGACGAGTACGCGGGGAGCGACTGGAGGTCGGACGGCGTGATCCACTCGAGGAACTCGGTCGCAGTCGGGCCGCGGATGCTGCGATGCGCGGGGTGAGCGAGCGGACGGGGCGCGGTGGCGGGGCGGGCGCGACGCACACGGACTGGACCATATGGCTGACGTCGAAGAGCCCGACGGATTCGCGTACGTGTTTGTGGCTCGCGACTGCGACGGAGGTGAGAACTGAGTGGGCCCAACTCGGGAGGGAGGCGTACCTGCTCCGACATCGCCATATTGGAGAGGCATGGCATAGGACGCAAAGGGAACCATCTTCGCGCCGTTTTTGACGTGGAAGTCGTACAGCGCCGTTCTCCTCAGCTGGCGGGCGTGTCAGTCACGTAGAGTCGAGCTTGTGCGCGATAAACTGGGCGTACATCGCTCGGCGCTGAGGACATGCACCGCGCTGGGAGGCCGAGGCGGGCATGTCGCGCGAGTGGCCGGAGCAGCGCTGTTCGTGACGCGACAAGAGCAGCCATCCTTGTGTCGACGTAGAGAACAAGAAAACGAACAGCGAAGAGGGATGGCGGAGGAGCGGAAGACCGTCCGACTCGAGGCCCTCCACAGACGTAAAGAGCGCGCCTATCTAATCGGCTCAGATAAGATTAAGCAGGCTGCTATAACTGCAGGCGCCGGCGGACCGACGTGGCAGAAGAGGCTCTCTGCGAATCCCAATGCCTCCTCCACACCGCCATCCACACCGCAGTCGCGCTTGCGCCCCCTCCACGCTCCTTTCCTCCTCGCACATGCCGACCTGACCGCCCGAAACACGCGCGCACACTTATGGACAGCAACACACTTCTCTATGGGGGGCTCGCGCTCGCCGCAGCCACTCTCGGCACGGTGAGTCCTACTTCTCCTTCCCCGCACGAGGGGCGACGCGCCGCGATGAGCACCCGATCATCCTTGTTCTACGACTCGCGGGCCACTTCGGTGCGCGCCGCGGGATGACGACGACACTACGGTCAGGCTGACGTCAAGTCGCCTCCTCTGAGCGCGTCGCCCTTGCTTCTACGCGTCCTATCGCTCCAGACTGACTTCACCTACAGGCATACACCATCCTCGTCATCTGGTCACCAGATACCATCGTTCCCAAGCCATCCGAGAAGAGATACCGCACCGCGTCCAGCCCCTCCAAACACCTCCCCCTCGCCTCCATACACGACGCCGGCTCAGTCGACCTCTCCGTGATCATCCCCGCTTACAACGAGACGGCGCGGCTACCAGAGATGTTCTCCACCACGCTCGCCCACCTCGAGTCCACGCGCCCGCGCACATACGAGGTCCTCGTTGTGGACGACGGCTCGTCAGACGGCACGGCCGACCTCGCCCTAAAGCTCTCGCTGGAGTACCCGGCGAGCGACGTGCGCGTGGTTGTGCTGGAACACAATGTGGGCAAGGGCGGCGCGGTGCGGCACGGGATGCTGCATGCGCGCGGGGGGCGGCTGTTGATGGTCGACGCGGACGGCGCGAGCCGGTTCGAGGACCTGGAGCTCTTGTGGAAGGCGATGGACGAGCTGATGCCGAAGGGCAACGAGGCGGCGGTGGTTGTGGGCAGCCGCGCGCACTTGGTGAAAACAGAGGCCGTCGTAAAGGTGCGTCTCCTTATGTCCACGTCCGCTCTATTCTGACGCGCGTGCAGCGGTCTGTGCTCCGGAACATCCTGATGTACGGGCTGCACACGATCCTACGAGTAGTCGGCGTGGGTCACATCCGGGACACGCAGTGCGGGTTCAAGCTGTTCAGCCGACGCGCGGCGCAGTCGATCTTCCCCGCACAGCACCTCGCAACATGGATCTTCGACGTCGAGCTGCTGCTGCTAGCGAAGCAGCTGGGGTTCCCGGTGGCGGAGGTGCCGATTGAGTGGCACGAGGTGTCGGGGAGCAAGCTGCACGTGTTCGCGGACTCGCTGCAGATGCTGCGGGACCTGCTGATTCTGCGGGCGAATCTGCTGCTGGGGCGGTGGACGGTGCGGCCGCCGACGGCATCGAGTACAGAGTAAACGGACGCTTGTAGTAAATTATATAGGATAATGACAGCTTGCTTGGACTCGATGATTGGTCGGCGAGCTCGGCGTATCAGGAAGGGCTTGTGGGATGATATGGCACGGGCTAGAACCGTGTGCGCTGGATGTCGCTGCGCGTTGCGAGGGGGCGATGTTATGCGACGATGGGCCGTGTCTTGGCCTCTCACCGCGAGTAGTAGTGTGTACTACAACACCGCTGCTCCGTGCGGTCTCCAGGCAGCTGTAGTTGGAGGGCATGAGGGTGGACCCACAGGGCCACAGCTGTGGGGCCGGCATTCAAACGACGCGCGCGCGGATTGGCTGGAAGAGACCGGCGCTGGCTTGTGATAGGCTGGATCGCATCGGGGGCTCAGCCAATCAGTGCGGGCCAATCGGAGGCTGCAATCATTTTGCACTCATCCAGCTATTGCGATCTGGACCGCGGGAGAACGCCTCGGTGGGGAAGTGGGGTCGTATCTCGCGCTTTTACGTCTATCTGCACAGCGACGGCGGAAGGACGACATCAACGGCGAGAGAGGCAGCGATTGGGCGGGGGCGGGGAGGCTGGACTGGGATCCAGACACGGTCGCGGTCCAGACCAGGCGTGCGCTCGTTCTGGCTGTGGGTGTCCGCCATGTCCAGGCCGTGCGATGGATATATACTCTCCTCGAGATGGATGGCTAACCCCCTCCTCCTCCGCCTTGCGTATGTTCTCGCCCTCCCGCCCCCATGCTCGCCCTCATGTTCCCCTCCCCTGTCCCCTCCCCGCCCTCCTCCTCCCGCTGCCTGCCGCCCGCGCCCCCGCGCTCGTCCCGCAAACGCCCCCGCGGCCTCTGGAAACAGCGTCGAGTCCAGGCCGCAGAGGCAGCCCAGGCCGTCCCCTCCCAGTCCAGAGCCTACTCGCCCTGGCCCAATAGGGTATCCCTCTCCCACGATCGCATCGCCGAATGGCGCAGAGAGCATTCTCTCGCCCTCCCCCTCCCCCCAAGTGCCCACCCAACCATCCTCCTCCACTCCCCCGCTCCCTCCTCCGCCTCCTCAGAACGACGCTCTCTGCCCGATTGCGACGACCCAGCAGACGACGACGACGACGCCCGCAGTGCCTCCTCGTCCTCCTCCAAACGCCGCCGCCGCAGCGGCCACTTTGCCTCCGACTCCGACTTCACACCCTCCCCCAGTTCCGGATACGCTCCCAGCTCCTCCATATCCCCGCTCTCAGACCCGTCCTATAATGCCCCCACCCACCCGCGCACTCAACTGATCATGTCTCTCGCCGACCTCAAGCACCCCCACTTCCCCTCCCCGTCCCCCGCGCCCTCCGCCCCCATCTCCATCCTCTCCTCCCCGCGCGCAAAGGGCAAGCAAGTCCGCTCCGCCGACTTCGAGGACTGGGAAAACCTCAAGGAGCTCTTCGCGCGCGCCGCCGAGCGATACGACGGTACGTCCCCCGCCCTCTCCCGACAGGGCGCGCGATCCTGATAGCAATCTCCTCAAAGCCGACGACCTCCCGCAAGCGCTTCCTCTTTTGCGCGCCGTCATTCGCGAATGTCATCGCTTTCTCATGGACCACCCGGACCCGTCCGTCGTCTACGCGGACACCACCCAGAATCGCGCGAGCAGATCTCCCGGCGCAATCACCCCTACGGAAGAGCGCCTCAGCCGTGACTGGGGCATGGACACCGATGCCTCTGGCTCCCCTCACTGGAATCACCGTCGGCGGTCGTCGGGACGGTACGTAAAGTCTACACATACGCCGATAATGTCCGCTCATTTTCTATCGCAGGTCCGAGCTGCCCACCGCGTTCCACGCCATTTTTGGTATCACGCTCTTCCTAATGGGCAATTTAGTCGCCCAGGACGCATCAATCGTCCTGCCGGGCGAGCCCGACGCGCCGTCCACGTACTGGCTCGCGGCGCTCGACGTGTTCGAGACGGGCGAGAACCTGCCCAGCCGCACGGGCGGGACCAGCCTGGACACCGCCGAGGACTGGCGCATGGCGATCGTCTGGGGCCGCACGCTCGTCTGTCTCGCGGACGAGAAGGTCACGTACAACATGAAGAAGGCCAAGGAGCAGGCGGAGGCGTCTTCGACTGTCGGCGCTGCGGGCGAGTACTGTTACTACCCCTCCGGCTCGTCCTTCTCCATGTCCGAGCCGCAGTGGCCGGCAGGCTCGCCCTTCCACGCGATTGCGCAGTTCCGGCCTCCAGTGACCCGCCGCATGTCGCTCTACTCCGCGTCCGCGCACGATATCATGGTACTCGCCATGGACCAGTTCTCGCGCGGGATCTTCCACATGCCGCATCCACACTACGCGCCGTCACATAATCCGTCCTTCATCCACACGCCTGGTGCCTCAGGCGGGCCCGCTCAGTCCACCGGATACTTCTCCGGGGCGCACGGACCTGCACCGCACTACACCTCCCCCGCCTCCGACCTCTCCTCGCACTCTTCTCCCTACCAGCTCGCCTTCTCCCGCCCGAAGGAGCTCTTCACGATCGCCTCCGAGGTCCTCGGCGTCGCCGAACGCCTCACCTCCGGCACGCAACGGCACTACTGGGCGTCCTGGGCCGACTCCGTCTTCAACCAGATGAAGAACGAGGCGGACATGGACGCCTGGCGCGGGCCCATCCTCTCCGCGCGCGGCCGCTGCTGGCTCGTCATGGGCTCCGCCCCTGTCGAAGACATGGAAGCCGCGCTCGAGGCCGGGCGCACCGAGGTCCTGCACTCCGCCGAGGCCGAGGACGCGCGCGAGGGGCTCGCCATGGCCATCTCCTTCTTCGAGCGCGCAAAGGGCCAGGCTGCGCTCGCGGTCGAGGCGTTCCCGGGCCTGGGCGCGGCGGACGACGTGTCGCCGCTGCTCGTGGAGGCGCTGCTCGTGCTCGCGAACCTGACCGCGGACGAGAACAAGCGCGAGGAGCTGTACACGCGCGCGCAGACGGAGGCGGGCGAGGACCTCCGGCTCGAGCTCGACGACCGCGCAAGCGTCAAGAGCGGGAAGGAGGACGAGCCGATGGACGTGTCATAACGCCTCTTGTCCGCGCACCCGCCTCCTAGACCGGCGTAGAGCCGTCTCGTCCGGCCTCGCCGCCCGTCCGTGCACCACCCCCCGCGTGCCATCTGTTTTCTATCATTATTCTGTATCGTTTCTTGGGGTTTCCGGTCGTCTTGGGTTTCCGTAGCATACTGACCGCACATGAATCGCACGCATCCGTCTCCGCCTCCGCACATCGTACCGCGCTCCGCTCGTCGCACTTCCCGCCCGTCTCCTCGCTTTCGACTGCTGCTACCTTGCACGTTCCACATCCCCCACGCACACTCGCCCCGGCTGCTCGCTCGCGCACGCACACTGGGCCCCTTTCCTATCACATTGCTAGCACTTTGTAGTAGAGGCGGCGAAGTCGTCGCAGATCCGTAGTAGTCGGTGCACCGCGACGGGCGTGGATGCTGAATCTAATCTCGGGCACACTGCACACTCGCAGCGCCCGCTTGTACTCTACGTATGCCTGCGTGATCTTCGTGTGCAAAAACGAAAGCAAGTGGCGTCCAATCACAGCTCAGAAAGCGATTTCCGCTCTAGCGGCCCGGGCGAGCCGCAGGGGACCCACAATTCCCGGGGCGCCGCGGCACTGCATCCCCCGCCCTCCTCTCGTTGGCTCCCTTCGTGACTCGAGCGCGCAAATACTCCCAGTGACTCCGCCGGGATCGATTCGATTGCGCTGAGCGTATCTACCGCTATCTACAGCTGCTAAATGGTACATACCTGATCGGACGTCGATCGGTGCGCGCACCGTCTGCTGGTGCAGTACCCGCAGTTTTACTCTACGTGCCATCCGCGGAATCGTGAACGCTAACTGCAGCCATCATGTCGACCGCACCCTCCGAACAGCTCAAGGACGTCTTGCTCATCGGCTTCGGGGCTGTAGGGGCTGCGTGTGAGTTGGCGTGTGTGGGTCGAGCGTGCGAGGCTAATGATGCTCTTGCGGCGTAGACTCCTTCGTCCTCAAGCAAGGCGGGCGTGCGAGACTGACCGTCGTTGCGCGGAGCAACTATGACGCCGTAAACGGTTAGCGTCTGTCCAAACCACTGCCCGGTAGATGCTCACGGCGTTGTATTCTCCAGCCAAAGGCCTAGACTTCAAGAGCCGCAAGTACGGCGAACACCTGGGCTGGCGGCCCCACCGCCGTGCGTCCTCGTTCTCTCCAGCCCACCGACCCCGCTCATACTAAACACCCCCACAGTCTTCCCCACGATCGAGAAAGCGCTCGACAGGCCCTACGAGTACGTCGTGCTCGCGACAAAAGCCGTGCCCGAGATCCGGCGCAACCCCGACCTCCTGCGCCCGCTCCTCTCCGCGCCCTACGCCGACACGCACCCGCAGCCAACCTACGTGCTGCTCCAGAACGGGCTGAACGTCGAGGTCGACCTGTACGCCGCGCTCCAGGCGCTGCGCCCCGCGGAGGAGCCGCGCATCATCAGCACGGCCGTCTGGATCGGGGCCGTCGCGGTGAGCGGCGACACCGTCGAGCACGGCGACTTCGTACGTCCCTCCCCCCTCTCACTCTCACTCCCACTGCACACTGACATACCCTACGCGTCTAGGACCGCGTCCGCCTCGGGATCTACCGCCCGTCCACAACCGACACCTCCACGACACCCGCGCAAGCCGCCGCGCTCGCGGACTTCACCGCGCTCCTCGCCGAGGGCGGGTCCGAAGCCATCGTCGTGCCCGAGATCCAGCGCATCAAGTTCTCCAAGAACCTCTGGAACGGCGTCTTCGGCGCCTCCGCCGCGCTCTCCCGCGCCTCCCTGCGCGCCTTCTTCCGGCCCCCGCACCTCGAGCCCTCGCGCGCCGCCGACCCGACCCCCACCTCCTCCGAACTCGCCGCCGAGTCCACCCGCGAAGTCCTCGAGGTGCAGGCCAACCCGTCGGTGCAGGCCACGCAGTCCATCCCGCACGCCTCGCCCTCGATCGGCGCCTACACGATCCCCTTCCTGCACGACACGCTCTCCGAAGTGTACGCGCTCGGCACGGCCCTCTTCCCGGCCACCGCCTCCGCGCCCGGGCTCGAGGCGGACCTGGTCGCGACGACGCTCGCGCGCACCGCGGCGCTGCACGCGGTGCCGGAGAGCGTGCACCTGCCGAGCATGCTCGTGGACGCGTACGCGGAGCGCCCGATGGAGGTCGAGCACGTCGTCGGCGAGGTCGTGCGCATGGCGCGCAAGGCGGGCGTGCCCGTGCCGGTGAGTGCAGCTCCCTTCGCGTGTCGTGTGGTAGTGGCGGGAGCTCATGTGTGCGCGTTTGACAGCGGATGGAGACGCTGTATGCGCTCCTGCTCGTGAACCAGAACCAGTTCCTGCGCAAGCAGCGGGAGGGCAAGCTCCCGCAGTGACTCTGCGCGCGTCGCCTCCTTCCCTGGCCGTCTCGAGAGATAGAGCCCCCTTAGAATCTAGAACAGGTGCTCAGCTCGAGCGAGGCATGAAGATCTTTTACCTTGTATAACCTCTGTTACACCCAAATAGACTTGTATCAACCACGGCTGTCCATGTCCCGACAGCGTGCTGCTGATCCTTACCCGACACAGGCCGTCGCCCACCAGGCTCTAGCGCAGTGCTGAGCAGAAACGACGCGGTTAAGCTCCCCAGTGTTTCCACTACACTGAAGACACTCTGCACAGCACCGACACACCCAACACACCGAGCACAGATATCACACGAGGGTATGTTTCGCGTCGTACACAATACCGTCCTTACACACACGAGCACCCGTTCCCATTCCGTTCCGTCCCTTCCTGCACTCAGCCGTCGAGCAGCGCAGCAGCCTTGCGCGCGTTCGCGCGCACAGCCTCGACCTGCAGCTCCAAGTTCCGAATCTTCTCGCGCGCATCGCGCAGCTCGCCCGTCAGCCTTGCATTCTCCTCCCTCAGCGCCGCCACGGGCGCGTCCTGTCCCCGCACACACATCACACATCAGCACCACTTCCCACCCGACGCCACAGAAAGAGAAGACGTACATCGGAGGGGTTGGTCTGCGAACGCGCGGGCGCACGCGCCTCAGGTTCGTACCGCGACGTCACCGGCGCAGGGCTCGGCGGCTCCTCGTGCACCTGGATAACCGGGGCCGGGGCCGGCGCGGGGGCGGGGGCAGAGGAGGTCCTGGTCGGGGTAGGCGCGGGGGCGGGGGTGGGGAGGGCGAGGGGCGCGGTGCCGGCGGAGACGGAGCCGTCCTCGAGGGAGACGTACTTGGGCGCGGCGGTCTTGCCGGCGAAGAACTCGGCGGCGGTGAGCGCGGGCTCGGCGGACGGCGCGGGCGGGAAGATGTCTGACTGGAAGGAGTCCGACTGCACACAGAGCGGTCAGCACGAGTGTCACAAAGCGGAGGGAGGACGCACCTTTCGGGGGACGATGAACGCGATAGCTTCGATCGAGGACGCGGCGACCTTGTACGCGCGCGCGATCTCGCAGTCGGAGACGCTGAGGCCGCGGCGGGGGAGGAAGCACATGCCGCGCTGGGGCTCGGAGGACTTGTACTCGGAGAGCGGGAAGAGGCTGTCGTTCTCGTACTCGTAGTACCGGATGTTTCCGTCACTGTAATGCTTGTCAGTTAAACCTAGCGCATACGACCGCGCGTGCTTACCCCTTGCCGGCTACGAACGATACGTGTGAACATTAGCAGCTCGTAGAGAAAGGAACGCGAGACGCACCGAGGAAGAGGATGTTGTTGTCTGTCCAGAACGGCATGAGCACGCCAGAAGACTGGTCGATGGTGGTCGTCTTGACGTTCGCGAGGCTGCCGGTCTCCCAGATGGCGACCTGGCGGTCGCTCATTTTGCTAAAGCCAGTGGTCGCGATGCGGTCCTTGTCGCCCAACCACGTAATACGCGCGCCCTGCATTGCGCGTCAGACGGCTGCGGGTATCACACGAGCGCGCGATTGCAGGAGCATGCTATCGTAGAAGTACGCACCTTGATACCAGTGTGGCCCTCGCCGGTACGGACGGCATCACCACCCGCTCGCGGGTCGAAGAAGCGAATCTTGCGGTCCCTGCAGGTCGTCGCGAGGAGCGTGCCGGTCGGGTTCCAGGCGAGACTCTGGATGGCGTCCGCATGGCCGCCAAACGTAATCTTCGCGCTCTCCGGGCTAGCGAGGTCCCAAATCTTCACGACGTGGTCGCCCGTGGTGGTCGCGAGGACGTTGTTCGCGGTAGGGTGGAAGAGGACGTGGCCGACACGGCGAGGCGAGACATCGATGCGGGCGACGGGGTCAAAGTCTTGCGGCTCCCAGCCGTCCTGTCCCCAGCCCTCGAACGCAGAAGACTCGACGGACCAGATGAGGGCCTTGCCGTCCTCGCCTGCGGAGGCGACGACGGCGTCGTTGAAGGGGGACCAGTCGGTGTCGAGGACGGGGCCGGAGTGGCCGCGTGCGAGGGGGATGAGATCGGGGAGCTTGGAGGAGAGGCCGTGCTCGGCAAAGGGAGTGGGGAGGGGGAGGATGGCAAACGCGCCGCCGCCAGACGCGTTCCAGTTGAGGGAGATGTACCGCTGCGGCAGAGTCAGTGCTTCAGCGGAGGGAGAGAGAGGGGGGACGGACGGTGGAGGCGGCGACGATGTTGGTGTCCCATGCGCTGTTTGTGACCTTTACGTTGTCGTACCCGTACTCCTTCTTGCCCTGCTGGCCAAACACATGTCTGCCCGCTCTCAGCTAGGGCTACCGCGCGTGCACAATCAGATCGGGCGTACCGGTACTTGGACGCGCGGACGAATCGTGACATGACGCGCAAGAGAGAAGTGGTCCGCGCTGCGGCTGGTGAAGTGCGCAAGAAAGGTCGGGAGGAGAAGGAGGTCAGGAGGAGAGAGGTGGCGATCGTAAATCACGATGCGCGCGTCGTTACTGCAAGTACAGCTTTCCGCTTATCGCTACGACCCTAACCCCAGGCTGAGTCTTGTCCCCTTCAGACTTCCACCACCTTGGACTGACTGCACTCTCTGCCAGGACCGTACGCTGCGGGACCCACAGCTGCCGGTGAGTGCTTCGGCTATTGCATAGTGCGGCCAGTACGGAGCCCTGATAGGGACAACCGTACGCGCCCACAAGCACTCATACCTCCGCCCAAGATACGCTTCTTTCATTCCTCACTCCCACCCAGAGTCCCTGGCTACGCTCTCGCTCGTCGTCTCAGGTTCCGTGGGACTCTACCCGGTGGCCCGTAAACTACTTCAATGGGTGTAGATACCACCCGCTTATGGCACTACCTTTTTCTGCTCCGCCCTCGTCTCCCTAGCGGCCTCCTTGTTCGACAGACGTCCGGCACCCCTACTATCGCTGCTTCTCCTTCACACTCTAGCAACAGGCTGAGTGATGCGCTATGTCATGCTTTTGTATATTCGTGGGGAATAGCTAAAGGTCCGGGGTAAGCAGCCGTGCCTGGTCTCTTCAACTCACCGTTGTGGGTCCCGCAAGCCCGGCCCGATGTTCCTTATCAAAGTCCGGATGTCCGCGAGTCGGTCTCTCCTCCGAGCCTTGACCACACCCATTTCATTACGTTTATCGACAGCGCAGTAGCGGGATAGACGAGTGACTCATTGACTTCGACGTCAACCTCGCGCAGCTCTCAACTTCGTCGGGGTACGCGTCGACCACATTCACCAGCCACTGCTCGAGCAAGTTGAAGCATATCGTCAATCCGCAAGTACGTTCATGCCTATCTAGAACGTCATGTGTGCCTTCCGCCCCCCTTCCTTCTTAAACGTCGGCGCGAACGAGGACAGAATGTAATAAGCACTGATCACCGTCCCCCAGAGCCTACATGCAGCTCTCCGCCCTCCCCAAGCTGCTATCCACCATGGCCGTCCTCCCCGTCTTCCTCAACGCCTTCGCGGAGCACCAAGAGGTGTTCATGCTCCCCCCGGACGGCGCACGCACACCCTTGCCCGTGCCCAACTCGACGCACTCCTTCTGGATCAACACTCCAGGCGCTAACCCGCTCGCGAAGGAGGGTAGCGAGGGCCCCCTCACCGCGGATGCGGACATCGCCATCATCGGCTCGGGCATCACTGGAGTCTCAGCGGCGTACCACATCTCGCGCCTACTTGCTGAGACGGGCGACACGGGGAAGCCGCTCACGGTCGTCGTCCTCGAAGCGCGCGATTTCTGTCAGTGCTTGCCAGCCTCTATGAGCAACGTATAGCTAACACAACATCGTAGGTTCCGGTGCAACAGGTACATCTGCAGATTTCCTACGTACCGCGCAGGCCTAACGCCCCTACAGGCCGAAACGGCGGCCACCTCACCGCGAACATCTTCCAGGATTTCGCCGTATACTCTTCCCTGCATGGCACAGACGACGCGAAGCGCGCCATCGCGCTCGAGACGCGCACCGTCTCCGAGATCGTCAAGATCGCGAACGAGTCCGGCAAGACGGACGCGCTCGACCTCGTCTCCGGCGGGCGCAACCACCTGCTCTTCACCGACGAAGAGGTCGCCGAAGCCGACCTCGACTACGCGACTGCGAAGGCGGCCGGGGTCGACCTCACCGATGTCGAGTTCTTGACCAAGGAGCAGGTGAAAGAAGTACGCGTCCGCCCAGCTACATGAACCAAACACTCACCGTGTCCTCACGCAGAGATACGGCGCCTCCTACCCGAGCGTCCGCACCCCCGGCTACAACATCTGGCCGCTCAAGCTCGTCTCGCACCTCTACACCACCGCTCTCTCCACCGCCGCCAACTCCTCCGCGTTCTCCCTCGCCCTGCACACCAACACGCCCGTGACCGCGCTCACCCCCATCTCCGGCACCTCCTCCTCCCCACGCCGCTGGAACCTCACCACACCGCGCGGACCCGTCGCCGCGACGTACGTCCTGCACGCCACGAACGCGTACGCCTCGCACCTCCTCGCGCACATGCACGGGCCCGACGGCATCGTGCCCTCGCGCGGGCAGATCATCGCGACGCGCGCTGCGGTGCCGTCCTCCGTGCTCACCACGTCTGCGTACACGGGCAACGTGGGCTTCGAGTACTGGTTCCCGCGCCCGGTCGAGGCGGGGCAGGAGAAGCCGCTCGTGATCCTGGGCGGCGGGCGCGAGGCGACGAAGCCGAAGTTCGAGCTCTATGTCGCGGACGACTCGGTGGTGAACCCGGGCGTCGGGGAGGCGCTGCGCAAGTTCTTGCCGGTGGTGTTCCCGGGCAAGTACGAGGCGGACCAGAAGCCGGAGATGGAATGGGTGCGTTTGTGTGCAGCGTCCGTAGGCGCACCGCGCTGACTGATATGGACGCAGACCGGAATCATGGGATACACGAAGACTGGGGACCCCTTCGTACGTGCTGCATTCACATCCCGTTCTCATGGTCGTTGAACGTGTTCGCACTCAGGTTGGACCCGTCATCGACCCCGCGCACCCTGACGCTCACAAGGGGCAGTACATTTCCGCGGGGTACACCGGACACGGCATGCCCCGCGCATTCTCATGGTGCGTCATCTCTATCTTCGCGGCGATGGCGGTCGCTTACTTCGACATGCAGCGCGGAGGCCGTCGCGCAGATGATAGTGGCAGACATCCAGGGCAAGGAGTGGGAGGTCCCGGAGTGGCTTCCGCGGCACCACCTCACGCAAAACCGGCTCAACGAGTAAAGGTCGAAAGAGAAGAGTACTTACCAATCGAGGCTGTTGTATCGCTATGCGCAAAATGCGAGGCGGCAGATTCACATGATAGAGTTGGACGATCGACCGGATGATGCGCGACCTAGTGTTTCATACTTACTTAGACGTGAGATACTTTCTCGCTCTCCGCTGTGCGTCGGGGAAGCAGCTGACGTCTTATCTTCTCGCAGTGTGCCTTGACGTGTTGTGTACCAGGTAGGATCAGCAGCTTGATCGACATCTTGTTCGGGAGAATTAGCAGCTCGCACTCTCATTGGGCTTCAATACCTTGGCCGGGCCAATTATAGTGCTTTGTATCAACGCATCGCGCTCTCTGACGATTTAAGGGGCCGGGGTTACACCCACTTTGACGTCTTCGCAATACGACGAAGAGTCGGCAAGGCACAGGCCACGAAGGGAATACAACAGGTACGATTATTTCATCTGTCAAAACCATAGAAGAGCGACAGAAGCTTACTTGGGATTCTTCAGGCGGCGGAATGACGTCTGTAGCTTCGCTGCAGTTTAGTATGCCTTAAAAACTGCACGCGCCCTGCATTACGGGTTTCTCAGTGCGTCGCGATCGCTATCCCACTGGCATACACGATGTCTGCTGCAGACACCTCCACTTACATACCAGAGTTCGCCTCCCTGTAAGTGTCGTAGTCTTGCGACATCGTACATGGAACTCGCGGTCACTCAACCTCCCTTCCAGCGTCCTGTATTGTCGTGCCGAAGTAGCGGTCGTAGGTAAGTAGCGACACTAACAACTCGCAGTGTTCTTCTATTCAAGACCTTATTCACCCCCAGCGTTCCTCGTGTACGAGTATGTCATCACCCTCGACCAAGAACTGGCCCTTTTCTGGCGCCGCAAGAAGACTGGCGCGACATGTTTGTTCCTTGCCAACCGCTATCTAACGTTACTATGCTTTGCATGGCTCGGCTCCGCAACATTTGCCACCATGTCCGATCAGGTAAGTATCTTCGATCTGTGAGAGGCTTCTAGCCTTTGCCTAACGCCTTATCTAGAGGTATACGACATGTTTTCATGTACCACTCGGGCGGCTTACACGGCACCTTTAGCTGCCAGAAGTTGCAGGTAGTCCAATACACCATCACTTCCTTTCAGTACCTACCCACTGCCGGTAAGCCGCACGAATCCCGCTGTCAGATCTCTCCTAGTGGTGACACCCCATTTCTGCGTCCAGTGTTCTCTGGTCTACGTGCCCTCGCGCTCAGCGGAATGAACTGGCCGCTCGGGGTTTGCGTATCTGTCCTCGCCGCGAGCCCATTCTTCGGGTCAATGGTGAGTATCGACCCTCTTACGTTGCATATCAATCGCGGCTCATATTCTTAGTGGGAGCTCTCCCTGGGAATTACCGGGTCGAACCAGCCACCGTTCGGCTGTGGTGGAGGGAACAACACAACGCCTCGGCAGCAATTAATGTGAGCCCCCAATTTCCTGAGCGGTTGCGGCACAGTGATACTAACGAGCGTTTTCAGTCGTGAGCGCGTTTGCTAAGACGGTCATCGATACCAACGCTGAAGTGCTCTCTCACCAGTCGGCACCGTGCAGAGCGCATGTATCATCACTGCGGACATCATCGTCATCATCGTGACATGGTGGTACTCATTCAAGACCCATGGGACATTCACAACGCGCCGCGACGGAACGCGTTCACACCTCGCGGATATCCTGTCCATCAATGGCGAGTGTGGAGCGTAGTCCGGATTCATGACGAGCACTGCTAACGAACATTCGTTGCATCTAGGGACCATATACTTCTTGTACGCGTCGTCGCCGTGCAATGTTCTCGGGACCTACGGTACTAACAGTGGCGCGTAGGCTCTTCATGGTGCTCAACACTGTCCAGCTAGCCTTCAATCTTGTCTCCGTACGCGTTCCTTCTTCGCGCCATGCTAGATTCTCTCTGACATTCCGCGCCCCACAGTCTGTCTACGCGCTGGAGAATATCGGCGTAGTTATCTCCTTCGTGGCCCCGTATGCGTTTTATGTCGCTGCACTGTCGTCCGAACGATCGCTGACCCTTTCTCTCTCTCTCAGCCTGCAGGCCGTCATGACGTGCCGCTTCATGATCGCACTGCAGTCTGCGGATCGGCGCGTCGTCGGTGGCGGGGCAGCTTCCGGAGCTAACGCAGATGGGCAAGACACCGGCGCTGACGGCGTACACACGCTTCGGTTCGCGTCGCGCGTCGTAGGTTCCATCGGCGGTGACATAGGAGCTAGCTACCTCGGAACCGCGGACGAGTACGACGAAGATCAGGTCGACGACGAGGATGTACCCGAAGGGGTCCCAGAGTGTCTCGCGCAAGAACAACTTGAAGCATACGCCGAAGACCGCGGCTCAGCGTGCTCGGGAGCAAAGGATCATAACCCACGATCTCATGTCGATGTCTTGGAGGTTTGAGATGCCTTACGAGAGAGGAGGATTGCTCCGAGGTCGGCGGTCATCTCTGCTATCGGAATACTAGTTACTTGTTCCCCACCACGGCGTAAGTACTGGTTCTTAGTAGTCACGCGCATCGCTCGAGGATGAGGGTATGCTACCAGTTTATTGGGCTTGTGTGATTTGCACACTTTTTTCTACTACTCTCCCGACGTCTGTATGAGCGTGTTATGGATGCGTTTCTTCGTTTGGTTGACTGTTGCAAGAGAGAGGAGCTCGTGAGCGCTTGAGCGCTTGGTTGCCGGCGCTTGGTACGAGGTCGGACTTGCGGATCAGGAGCGGGCCCTCCGTCGCTTTCCTTCATACCACCACCCTATGTGCCACATGTTCCTTGCTACGCCCTCTGGCGGTCAATGTTTGAACACTACGATATGGCGTGCCTCCTGTACCACAGCCCACAGTACTCTCAAAATCTGGGCGGAGCTCCTTGCTACCTTACTATGGCTACACGCTGACTGCCTCGCGCTTTTTTGTCGCTCTCTACATCGTCATCTCGGGTTGTGGTCTGCCTTGCGAGATTCAGAGCTCAATTTCTCATGTTCTGGTCTACTTCGACCTGTTGGTGGACGATTATACCAGAATCTGCGTCTCCCGTAGCTTGTACGTCGCCGCTCCGGCCCGTCATACAAGTTATGGCATATGCAGATCGTTCTCCTTTTGAGCTCGGGCGACGAGCCCGGCCCTCGTGTCTGCAGGGTGAGTAATACGCGAGTACACTCTCACATGGACCCACAAACTGACGACGTGGGCGTATCTACAGCGGCGTTGCAGGTGACCTTATCTTCATACATACCAAAGTTCACCTCGGATACGCTCGAGCCGCAGCGCCGCTCAGGCGTAGACAAGACACGATGCTCGCTGCACACGGGGATCGTCGTATCGTCTTGCCTGGGCAAGTTGAGATCTTAGCACCCCTATCATTCCTTTTTGGCGTACTCGGAATTCTGTGCAGGCATAACGTGGCGCAAAAGCACCTACAGTCCGGTACTGAGTCCATCCAGCAGACCCGGAGATCCCTCGTCTGCGTTCCTGGAGCAGCGCAGCGTGGAGTTTATAAAGCTGTGGTTAATCTGCGACGTCGTCGCCGAAACAACGCGCACTCAGGCTCATACCCCACACATCTCTTGGCGACAATGTCCACTGTATCAGTTGATCCAAGTATTGTTCCGTTCATTTCACCCCTGTGGGTTCTTCCGCGCTCGTCTTAGATATCACAAACATCTTCAACTGATCTCGTTATCTTTCTCAGTGTTGTGCTTGTCCGCTCTCAGATCGGGGTTGTAGGTGAGTACCAAATGACGTAGCTCGCGATGTCGGGTTTTGAGCGTGCTACCCTCAGCGCTGCTCGTATACGAGTATGTTATCACGCTCGATCAAGAGATCGCGCTTTTCTGCAAGCGCAAGAAGACGGGCGCGACCTGGTTGTTCTTTACCACACGCTACCTCGCGTTGTTGACCTACAGCCTTCTTGGTTCCGTAACGTTCATGTCGATGTCCGATCGCGTGAGTCTCTCTGAATGCTTTTATATCATTGTGTGTACTCATGGCGTTTCCCAGAGGTATGTACCGTTCCTACATACACATGTATTCATGTGTAATCCAGCTCGACGCGGCTTTTCAAGCTGCCAGACACTGCAAGTGATTCAATTCTCGGGACAAACTCTTCAGTACCTTCCCTGGGCTGGTACGTCATTCGATCGCTCTCCGAGTACGACAATATGACGCTTTCCCCGCAAATCTCATTCAGCATTCTCCGGCCTGCGAGCACTCGCGATGAGCGGGATGAACTGGTGGCTTGCTTCCGGCGTGTTTGTCCTCGCTTCAGCCGTTACGGCTGGGAACATAGTGAGTACCTTCGTCACATACATCGCTTTGCAGCCAAATCTTAACGGGGGCCCACACTGGCAGTGGGGCCTCAGCACCGGCATTTCCGGGTCGAACCAGCCGCCGTTCGGATGCGGAGGAGGAAACGTCGCGACGCCTCAGCAGGACTTGATGTAAGTGAATGAGTTCACCTGTGACCATCGCACTAACAAATTTGCAGCGGTGAGCCAGCCGGTTTGGCGTATTTACACGCGGTTGAGTAGCATCTCGTCGTAGTCACCGCGGTGCAGCGATCGTGCATCATCGCGGCGGACATAATTGTCATTTTGCTAACATGGCGGTACTCATGGAAAACCCGCGGTCCGAGCGGAGTGCGGGGCATGCGCTCACACCTCGCAGACACCCTTTTCATCAACGGTACAGCGACCGTAGCTCTATCATATAACAGAAATGCTGACTACCTTGACGCGGCGCAGGGACCCTATATTTTTTGTAAGCCGGCTCGCAATCGCTCAACTATCATGGCGGCTTCTGATGCCACGCCTCGCATGCAGAGTCTTTATTACGCTCAACACGATTCAGCTCGCATTCGCCCTCATATCGGTAAGTCCCCTTCACGGTGCGCTGACACAAAGTTTCAACGCTCGACTACAGACTATCTATGCGCTCGATACCATAGGCGCAGTCATCGTGTTCACCGATCCGTACGCATCTGCTTGACGAATCGCCCAGCTCGAGCTCACTGCTGACTCCTTCGTCTCCCCAGACTTCAGGCAATCATGGTCTGTCGCTTCATGCTTGCCCTACAATCCGCAAGTGGACGCGATGCATTAGGCCAAGATACCACCTTCGACGGACGCGATGACACAAACACCACGTATGGCGAACAGACGCTTCGCTTCGCGTCGCTCGTCGTGGGCTCTATTGGAGCGCAGCTAGAGACAAGCGACGCCGGTATCGAAGAAGCGCTCATCCAGGATTGGAGCAGCGATGCGGGCGCAGACGTCGTCGCCTCACGTTGCCCGAGCGTTGCGGTTTTGAACCACGTGTTAGAAGAAGCGCGCGAAGCGTCCACGGGGACCACAGCAGCCGCCGATGTATAGTGTCTGCTCGATATATGAGCAGGCCGATCTGACCATGACGCGCGGATATCTGACATGTAAGAGAGTTTCCCCCTGCTCTCTCTGTATCATAGCGGCGGCTCACAAACTGCCAGCTTCTTCAGTACCTCATGCTATGAAATTTGGACCCAATAATGACGAGTTCCTTCTTTGAGAAGCCCGAGTCCTGCTGCTGGGCGATGAGTCCACGGACTATGAAGAACGCTTGTGAGTCTGAAATAATTCATCAAGCGAAAGCCTTCGTAAATGCACAGCTTCATAAAAGCAATGAGGTCGTTGCGGAGTCCCAGAAGATGAGCATGGCGTTAGCTGACCTAGAGTAGCAACACGATCGCGTTCTTGAAGTAGCGTTCTGCCAACGATGACACGCAACAACAGGGTACTGACCTCTATCACCGCCGCAGACGGTCGCTTTCGTACACCCCGCAGCTAACCTTTAAGCCTGGGCCTCCCCCATTGCCTCCCTGTGCCTGGACGTTGGTCGCTGCGTCTCGAGGTATACAGCGTCACTAGTGTCACCCTCGTACGTCGACAGTCAACCCGAACGCCGCTCTTTCGATCATCGCATTGATCAAACATATAGCAGTATTAGGACCGGACCATCCTCGCCTGTCAAGCCGGCACATCGTAAAACGCACGGATTCTCGCTGCACGACACCACCCTCATTCTTAAAGTTCACATTGCCGCTGGTATGCTATTTATGTCTGCCTCATCCGCCGTCTAATATATACACTTGCAGATGCTTCGAAATATGAAGCTCCTCACAGGCGTTCAATACCAAGTAACCATGACAGATGCGTGATGCTCGCATTGTAATGCTGGAGTCGAAAAGCAATCTTCTTCTTTGAGCTGTGGATTCGCCTGACCGAGGGCGTCTGTAGCATTTTTGGCGTGGCCATAGGCTCCTCATAAGTCGCAGGTGTCCGGCTATGCGACACCGCACTGCGCACCCGCCCTTTGACCATGTCTTCTGCGCAAGCCTCCTCCTTCATACCTGAGCTCGCCCCCCTGTGAGCATTGCAACCTTGCGCTGCCTGCGTTGCATTATGAGCCCCCTGACGCTAACCCTGCCTCTCAGCGCTTTGGTCGTTCGTGCCGAAGTAGGCGTCGTAGGCAAGTAGCGCATACGGCAGCTCGCAGTGCTCCTTTGTTGACTTGCTCACTCTCCAAGCCCTGCTCGTGTACGAGTATGTGATCACCCTCGATCAAGAATTCGCCCTTTTTTGGCGACGCAAGAAGACCGGTGCGACTTGTCTATTTCTCTCCAACCGCTACATCACCCTGCTCTGCTTCGCGGTTCTCGGCGCCGCCACATTCGCCCCCATGTCGGACCATGTGAGCATTTCTGATTCATGCTTTTCAACGTTCACTCACGCTCCTTCAGAGGTATGTTACGTGTTTACAGGTATAGCATAGCTCGACTAGATGACGCCACCGCGGAGCTAGCTGCCAGACGTTGCAAGTATTTCAATTTGTCATAACGACCATTCAGTACCTGCCGTCCGCCGGTGAGCCGTTCAAGCCCCACTGTTGAACGTCTTCGCGTGACTCTGAAGCCCTGCACTATCTCAGCGTTCTCCGGGCTCCGTGCTCTCGCGCTGAGCGGAATGAACTGGTGGCTCGCTTGCTGCATAATCATACTCGCGGCCACCCCCTTCTTCGGATCCATCGCGAGTATCGACACCACTATCACGTTACGCGCGTAGTACTCACCGGAATGTTTTAGTGGCAACTCACCGCTGGCGTCACTGGCGCGAACGTACCGCTGTTTGGCTGCGGGGCCGGACTAAACGGGACACCTCGGCAACAATTCATGTGAGTTCTCCTTCGCAGGCGCAGTATCGCCCTACTGATGTACGCTTCAGCCGTGAGCGCATGCTTCCGCTAAGATGACCGGCTCCCGTGTTAGAACACATCTCTCCCACAGGCGCCACCGTGCAGTGTGCATGCAATATCACCGCAGATATCCTCGTCATCCTCGTAACGTGGCGATACTCGATCAAGACTCACGGGTTTCCGACCGCAATGCGCGGCGGTGGAACGCGCTCATACCTGGCGGATATCATGGCTATAAATGGCGAGTCTGGGCCATAGCCCAAATGCAAATCAGTACGTCGAATGTCGCAGGCTAATCACTGATATATCTAGGTACCATATACTTCTTGTAGGATACGCCTCCCTGTAACGCTCTCCGGACTCAACTGATCGCACTGTATAGGCTCTTCATGGTGATAAACACCATTCAGCTGGCCTTTACCATCGTCTCCGTAAGCTGCCCCCACGATGCGGGGTTCTTACTAACATGTTCCTTCCCTGTAGTACTTCTACGCGCTAGAGACCATAGGGATAATCATGGCCTTCACGGCCCCGTACGCCTCTCACATTGCCTGCTGTCGCCCGAGCCATTACTGATCGTTTCGTTCCTACAGTTTGCAGGCTATCATGACCGGCCGCTTCCTGATGGCGCTGCAATCGGCAGATCGGCGGGTCGTGGGCGGCGGATTAACATCTGGCGTCAACGCCGACGGCCAAGACACTGGTGCTGACGGCGGGAATACGCTCCGCTTTGCGTCTCGCGTCGTCGGCTCTATCGGCGGAGACCTAGGCACTAGCTACATCAATACCGCCGACGAATTTGACGAATACCCAGTTGATGAAGAGGAGGACTCCGTAGGAAACCGTGGCTCGGCGTGCTCGAGGGAAGAGGAGCGTCACTCACCGTCTGATGGCGAAGCCTGAGACTTGGGGGTCTGAGGCGAGTTCGGTGGTCGCGGATTCGCTTTGTATTTCTAGCGCGAGTTTATGATGTGCATTCTTGTATCTTTCTGAACGTCCAACGTACAGCTTACATGCACAGAAGTAGAATGGTAGAGACCTCCTCAATTTTGTCCGATTTTCGATTTTGAGCCGAGCGCTTGGCTGTTAGCGCTTAGCATGATGACGGCGGGATCTGGAACCCGTCCACGGTCGCTTGCCTTCGTGCCATCACCCTACTTGTGTGCCGCTCGAATCCTGGTTGCTCTCTTTGGTTGTAAATGTGCGTGTTTACTATGCGGCAAATCACTGTAATCAAGGACGACTTCAATTCTGGACAGAGCTCCTTTTAGACCTGATGACGGATACTGCACTACTGCCAGCGTCGCTGTTCGGACTGCCTTGCGTTTCGCTCTCTCTCTTCGTCGTCATCTAGACTCGGTTTGGTCCTCACAAGCTCTGTGCTCTTTTAGGTGCTCATGTATCGGTGCTCTTCGGCCTGTTAGCGGGCGGTTATATCCGACACATATACGACGACGGACTCGGATACAGATTGTTCTCCTTTTGTACTCGGGTTACGAGACCCGCCCTCGTACCTGCTGAGTGAGTGATAAGAATCGTGAGTGAAGAGCTCGACAAGAACGATGTGTCGGTGCGGAACCGGAGCATGGCGTTCTGGCCTGACGCAGCATTGCGATCGCATTCTCGAGGTAGCGTTCTGTCATCTCTGCCAACACACAACAGATGGGTACTCACCTCTATCGCCGCCGCAGACGGTCGGTTTTTAGAACTCGCAGCTATCCTCTTCCCCTCCCTGTCGTCTCGGTCAGGCGGGTCATATCCGTCGCCCCCGGGTCTCAGTGGCAGCGCCTCCCTCGTATGCTCGCGGCGAACTCGCATGCGGTCACCTACTCGCATTAACTGGACAGAAGGCTGCGTGAAGGTTAGTCGGACTATTCTCGCTCCTCACATCTCCGCGTTGCGAAGCTCATGGATTCTTGCCGCGCAAGACCGTAATGCCATATAAGTTCACCTACGCCACCCAGGCGCCTCCCTCGACTCCCATCCAATTTAAGCACTCTTGGACGCCTTCGCATTACGAAGCCCCCGCAGGCGTTCGATCGCCCCGTGCGTCACGATAGATGCGTGATGCTCGCATGCTGTGGTCGCAAAATATCGACCGAAGCTCACTTAGGTTCATTCTGCAAGAGGCAGAAGCGGATAGGAGACGTCTGTGGTATTGTTAGAGCGGCTTCAAGCTGCTCATAAGCTGCAGGCGTCCACCAATGCAGATACCGCTACGTCGTACTACACCCGCTCACCATGTCCACTCCAGACCCCAACGCCTTCATACCCTTGCTCGCGCCCCTGTAAGCATCGTGACCTTGCCATTTGAACCCGCACTTACTATATCCCCTGCAGCTTCATGGTCGTTCGGGCCGAAGTAGGCGTTGTAGGCAAGTAGCACACGCTTCAGGTCGTCACAGTTCCTCTCCTGACCCTACGCGCTCATAGCCCTACTCGCGTACGAGTATGTTATCACCTTCGATCAAGAGCTGGCACTTTTCTGGCGACGCAAGAAGACTGGCGCGACCTGGCTGTTCCTCGCCAATCGTTACCTCGCGTTGCTCTGCTACGCAGTTCTCGGCGCTGCCACATACGCACCTATGTCCGATCCTGTAAGCATCTCAGATTCGTGCCTAGCACCATTCGCTCATCGTACACCTTCAGAGGTACGTTGCACGCTCAGTGCAGGTATCATAGACACATCCAATAACATAGCTGCCGAACTAGCTGCCGAACGTTGCAGATTTTCCAATATTCCGTCACCGCCATCGAGTACCTACCATTCGCCTGTAAGTGTCATTAACCACGCTGTCGGGTGACTTAGCATGCGACTCTGAAGTCTTGCACCATTTCAGTGTTCTCCGGGCTGCGGGCTCTCGCTCTGAGCGGAATGAACTGGTCACTCACTATCTGGATAATCATCCTTGCTTCTAGCCCTTTCTTCGGCTCCATCGTGAGTCCCTCCTGTACTTACCTACGTACGTGGTACTGACAGGTAGTATGTTATCAGTGGCAGCTTGCCTCTGGCGTCTCCGGCGCGAACCAGCCACCGTTTGGCTGCGGGGCAGAATTCAACGGGACGCCTCGGCAGCAATTTATGTAAGTATTCCCAGCTCCTCTTTGGCCGCAGTATCATCCGACTGACGAGCCTTTCAGCCGTGAGCGCACGCGTCTGCTAGGGTCAGTGACTCCAGCGTTCAAACGTTGTCTCTACCACAGGCTCTACGGTGCAGTGTGTGTGTACCATCGCCGCGGATATCATCGTCATCATCGTGACGTGGTGGTATTCTATCCGAACCCATGGGCTGTCTGTATTGCGCGGCGGGACACGTTCATATCTAACAGACATCCTGTCTATCAACGGTACGTTCAAGGCACGGTATCAGCGCACTAAATGTCGCTACTAATCAGGTATCTAGGAACTATGTACTTCTTGTAGGTCTCATGTCCCCGTAACGTGTTTGTTACCAGACTGACCGCGGTATACAGGCTCTTCACGGTCATAAACACCATCCAGTTGGCTTTCGCCATTGTCTCGGTACGCCGCTTGTCGTTCCGCGCTTATCCCTCACCGATACAATGTTTTCCTATAGTACTTTTTCGCGCTGGAGACCATCGGGATCGTCTCCGCCTTCACGGCCCCGTATGCCTCTTGTGTTGCTCAGTCTCCTGAGTGATTGCTGAACCTTGCTCTCCCTAGCTTGCAAGCCATCATGACGTGCCGCTTCTTGATTGCGTTGCAGTCGGCCGATCGGCGCGTCGTGGGCGGCGGGTCGACCTCCGGCGTCAATACGGATGGGCAGGACACCGGCGCAGACGGCGGATACACACTCCGCTTTGCGTCTCGCATCGTCGGCTCCATCAGCAGGGACCTCGGCAGGAGCTATCTTGGTACCGCGGACGAGTTCGATGAGAATGAGCTTGCAGTCGATGAAGAGGACATACCCGACCTAGTCCCTGACAGTCCGGCTCAAGGCCACACGGACTCTGCGGGCGACCACGGCTCAGCGTGCTCGAAGGAGGAGAAACATCCCTCGTCGTCTCAAGGTGAAGGTTTGGAGGTGTAAGGCAAGTTCGGTAGCCTGAGATTGGCTTTGTATTCGTAGCACGCGTCCTTGGTGTTTGTACTATCATTTTGATGTACTTGGTATGTATGAGTGGGCGACCGCGTACCCTCCCGAATTTGTCAAATTTTGGATTTGAGCCGAGCGCGCGGCCGTCGGCGCTTAGCATGACGATGCGAATCAGGCACCCAACCGTCGCTTGCGTTCGTACCACCATGCATGTACCGCTCTCACTCAATCTCAGTACTCCTTCCTTCTCCCTCTGCTGGCCGACGTTCTCCCTGTGCAGTGTACAACATAGCATGCCTCCCGTACGGGGATCGACGCGCCGCGTACGTCATACCAAGAACGCGCTGAAATGCAGAGGCGCTGCGGTATGATGCGGAAAACACGACTAGTCCGCTCTCGGACCCGGTGAAGGATCGGCCGCCGATTGACCGGGACCGGGGATCTGTCGTCTCTAGATCCCCTCGCGCCCGACGTCGCTCTGACTTTCAAATGTTCCGCGTATACTGGTACGTGCACGGACGAGATGGTCACCCAAGTTCAACAGGACGTCGTCTCTCGCTCGCCAATTGCATGGTCACCATGTACGTGGTTGCATCTTTTGGAGGGCGAGCACCGTTTGGTGTAGTCCTGGACAAGGTATAGCAGGTTAGCTGGGACCTTCGAGTCGAAAGCGATGTAGTTTATGCGCTAGCTACAGCGCCCTACTACTCTCAGGCACAGATCCGCGCCCGCATTGCCGCCCCTCCGGGGCTCCAAACCTTGATAGGGCTAGGTATATATCCCCCAGGACAAATACTGCGACCACCGTTGCGCACTTCGCCCTCCGAGTGCCTCGCTTGAGATGTCCAGTGCGCCAGACAGTTCCGCAGAGATCATCCATGTCATCTCTTCTGTGTACGTCCCACACTTCTTTCTCTCATTCGCATTGCTCGTCCTGACGCTTCGGTTTGCTCTCTGTAGCATCACACAAAGTCGCATCTCGATAGCGGCAGCGAGTGCGTATTCGCTCGAACCCAAAATATGCCTCAATATTACGCTGACGCTCCGCTAAGTCGTGTTCGCGTACGAATATGTCATCACGTTCGACCAAGAGGTCTCTCTATTCTGGATGCGCAAGAAGACTGGCGCGACATGACTCTTCCTGCTCATCCGCTATATGGCGCTGGTCAGCGTGTGCATCCTCAACACGGCGACATATATTCCGATGTCTGACGAGGTGCGAAATATGTCAATCAACTTGTTGTTGGCTGACTGTTGACGTCTCTCGTCGTCTAGAGGTACGACTTGATCTCGAAGGAGCCCGCTTCATCGTGCTGATTGAGGAACACGCAGCTGCCTATGGCTCAACAAAATCCAAGCCCCCATCCAGATCGCCGAGTACCTTCCCTGGGCCCGTACGTCCACAGTTTGTATCCTTCCTTACGACGCGACCTCTCGCTGAACTCGTGTAGTATTCTCCGGAATGCGTGCGTTAGCCCTAAGCGGCATGAACTGGATGTTCGCGACCATCGTCTTCACCCTTGCCGTCGTCCCGTTCGCCGCGAACGTCGTGAGTGCTTCCGCCCAGCCAGTTGTCAATTCGGGGTGATTATGTTTTGATGTCATGAACTTTAGTGGATCATCTCACTCGGAGTGCTTGGGTCGAACTTCCCTATAGTCGGCTGCGGCGGGGGAAGCAATGCCACGAAGCGCGACACGTTGATGTGAGTGCTCTATCCAGTTCCTTGACGCTCATGCAACATACTGAGAATCGAAAACAGTGGCATGTCTTCTCAACCCAACCCAAGAGATTTTGGAGAACTTACAACTCGCTTTCAGGGAATCCCCTCTCGCGCTCGTGCGCGATCGCCGCCGACATCCTCGTCATAGCGGCCACTTGGAGATACGCGCTTAAAGGAGGAGTGTTCCGCCGCGATATGCGCGGTGTGACGCCGTCCCGCCTCGCGAACGTCTTGCTGTACAACGGTGTGTCCCGTTTCGCTCCTACACTTCTCGGTCTCATCCCAGCTGTGCGGTCATCCGAAAGGGACTATATACTTTCTGTTAGTCGCTCGCGTCATCGGGCATAGTGCTTACTCTGACGATTGACGACACACAGGGCGCTCATCGCCTTGAACGTCACCCACCTCACCTTGACGCTACTTTCCGTAAGCACCGGCAGCGCCCTACGCGGGTTGCGTCGGTGTCCGCGCTAACTCTTCGCTCTCGCAGATCGTCCAGCTCGATAACCCCGTCAGCGAAGTGTCTATCTTCACCGACCCGTAAGCATGCCTCTCCATATTGCCTCTACATCGCGCCTCTCACAGTAGTCAACGCATCTCCAGGCTCACTGCGATCCTCATCGGCCGCTACCTGATGGCCCTACAATCCGCGAACCAGCAAGTCCTCGGCCACACATCCACCTCGTCGCAGTCCGGAGAGGACGTTGACGCCGACGGCTCGGACACGCTCCGATTCGCGCCGCGCATCATCGGGTCCATCGGAGCGACACTCACGATACGGGACGAGGAGGATGCCCTTGAGTGGCAGCACGCAGACGAAGAGGTTGGAGACGAAGGGAAGGTTTACGATGGGGGCGTGCACGAAGGTTCCGAGACCGGGGTCGCGCTATGATGGTGAGTTCGGTTTTCGCTCCTCGTTTCCACACGGCGAGGCCGGGACGCCATTCCGGACCGACTGATGTTGTACAACCTTGTTTCCGTTTTTCTGAACTCAAAGCTCGCCTGTGATCTCCCATCGACGCTGCGCTACCGGCGATTGACTTCGAGCGCCACTGATACACATATCGCCGAGAAGTGCTGCAGCGCCCCAAGGCGCCCCGGCTACCTCTATTGTACACCACTCACACATTCCTGCGTCGCTGCGTCTAGAAAACCCCGGATCCGACGACAGGACATTACTGTATATCCGCCTACTTATGTCCGTATGTTCTGACTTTAGGAACACATACTCGCACAAGTTTGTTAGCAAGCGAACTGTGGGCTCTAAGTTTGACATCACCGCCGCCAGCATCTAGGGTTTCGGTTTAGCTTACAGCTGGCTGCGGCGCCGACACGTTTCCCAGTTCCGCTATCATCGTTGCATCATCGAATCAACTTCTTGAACTTTCACCACCAGCAGCCCGCGCCGAGTGCTGAGCGTTCACTTCAGGTGAGTGTCCCAGTCGCTTACCGCATTCCAGCAGTCACAGTAGTACTGACTACAATGCCAGCGGGATATCGCTATATCGTGGTACTTCGTTTCAGTCGTGACGCCAGTAGCGCGACCATGATATCGTGTTCCAGGTCACCAGGAATAATCCCTCTCCGTTGCCTTCTGAAGGTTAATTGCGGCGCGTATAGAAGGTGGCGCACTCTTCGGTTGCAGTACTACGCCCGGTTCTTGTCGCCACCGGAGCGACCATCGGGCCCGCACTGGCGACCTCACTGTATATCACCACCATGAGCAAGGATATGCTTCGTTCGCCCCCTCATTCGATCCTGAATCGTCATGTCTGACAGTCAAGCAAGCTCTGAGGTCGCTGAGGCATCAGCATACATTTCCTCACTGTAACCTGGCCTCTCTACCTCCGTGTCGTATACGTTCGTTGCTAACAAGATCTTTCCCCCTCAGAATTACCGAAAGTCGAATCGGACTAGCGATCGCAGGTGAGTGGCACCCGATCCTTGGCGCTATGGCATACGGGACGACTGAGTCCACTTTACGGCAGCCTTGGTCCTGTACGAGTACATCATCACATTCGGCGATGAGGTGAACTTGTTCTGGATGCGAAAGAAGACCGGCGCATCCTGGCTATTCTTCATCGTCCGCTACCTCGCTATGTTGTTCTACGTCTTTCTCACCGCCGTGGCTTACGCACCGATGTCCGAAAAGGCAAATGCCATCTAACATCGTATCATGTTCAGAACTCACCGACGTGATGTTGCAGTGGTGCTTCGTTAACCTCTCGACCTGCAATACTGGCAGACAGCACTTACCTGCTCCTCGTTTAGCTGCGACCTTTTCCAGAAGGTGAACCTTACTCTCGACGTCGTTCAATATCTCTTTTGGGCAGGTTAGCTCTTTACTATTGCATATTTCCCCCTGAAGTATGCGCCTCGTACTCACGCGACACCCTCGGATCTTGCAGCGTTCTCGGGTCTGCGTGCGCTCGCGCTGACCGGGATGAACTGGTGGGTCGGTTCGAGCGCCTTCCTCTTCGCCTGCTGCATGTTTGGAATGTGCGTTGTAAGTGACCCAAGCTATTAGGTCTCGTGCGGTGGAATCAACGCCTAACGCGCACTTAAATTCTAGTGGGAGTTGTGTCTTGGCGTCTCCGGGTCCAACCTGCCCATCTTAGGGTGTGACGGCGGTCCAAATGTGACGAATGAACAGGGCCTCATGTGAGTGTTTTCCTCCCCGTTTACACGATCATGCGTCGCCGCGACTGAACACTGCGCATCACAGAAGTGCATATTTTTCTCCGCCAAGTACGTACGTCACTCACGAGTGCTTGTCGGAACAGTTGTGGTGGTATCGCGTTCCTGCGTTATCATCGCAGACATTATCGTCATTGTAGTCACCTGGCGATACTCGGTCAAGAACGGCATTAGTGTCGGCGCGCCAATCCGCGGGGTCATGTCCTCGCAACTGGCTTACGTCTTACTTGTCAACGGCGAGTCGAGACGATCGCGCATGTTGCCGATGCATGCTGAAACTGTACATAGGAACAGTGTACTTCCTGTGAGATGAACCACTACGGATTTCTACAAACTTTGTCTTACATACTCTACTCACTCCCGGCCCCTTGCAGTGTCCTCTCTGTGCTAAACACCATCCAAGTTCTACCATTCATCCCCGTGAGTGTGCTGCGACCTGCGGCCGTAACCGTAATGATACTGATGGGCCTACGCAGGCTTTCTCCGCGCTCGACCAGGTTATCGGCTATTTTGTCGTCGTAGACCCGTAAGTGGACATATACGATATCTGAATTTTCGCTACGCTCGGGCTCACCTGCGACGCATGCGGCACCGACAGATTGACCGCCATTCTGATCTGCCGCCTCATGCTCTCCCTGCAGTCCGCTCACCAACGCGCCCTCGACGGAGGTACTGCCGAACTCAGTACCCCGCTGGGTCAGACTGCGACGCTTCGATTCGCGTCGGCCGTCGTAGGGTCCATCGCGGAGCCAGCACAGGGCGTCATGACGAGCGCCGACGCGGTGTCGCTCAACACCTTCCGGGACGGGGATTGGGCTCGTGGAGAGCATGACGCCCCGGTAGCCTTTGAAGGAATGCAACAAGATCAGGCTTACGATGGGGGCCGGGCAGGAAGTATGGGTCACGAAGCTGCAGTCTGACGCGAAGGGAGCTAGTCCGAAGACCCCGAATCCGGTGTTGCGTCCTGACTGTAAGTATCTTCTCTGTCAGTTTCTGTCAGAGGGAGCCGGGCCGTTGTGCACAGGCCTACTGATGCTGTTCAAAATCTTTCCAGGTTCTTTGAACCACGCCTCGCCTGCCATCTTGTGCTGGCGCTTTGCTACCGGCGGTTGACTTAGGGTGCAGCTGATACAGGTGTTGCCGTGGACTGCTTATGGCTTCCGGCTCCTCACAGCTACATACTATATAGTCAACTGATGGCAACATAGCATTGGCATCTTCTAGGTCTTCAACGGCGACAAGTCCGCCATATTTCTGGTCGCTCAGCTTATGCTCGGGTGCATTGCCCTCGATAGGAATTAACCTTATGTGTCTCCCTGCGGCCTCCGTGCGCTATTTTCGCGCGCGATTCTCTAGCAAGCTCCTTGATCGGGGCCTCTCAATCACCGCCTGACGCTGGACACGCGCCGCTATAGGCGTCCTCACCAGACAAACTGGATGCATCACGTCAAGAAGTCTCCGAACTCGGAGCCCTGAGGCCCTAGGACGCAAACCTTCAAGTTGGAGATAGCGCTATCATGGCTGTGTATGTGCACAAGGTTTGCGCACGCGATATATAATGACATCCCTTCGACGTATCGCCATCGACGGCCCCGTTTCTCGCCTCGTAAATGTCTGACCCTTTCGGTTCCGAGGCAGCACAGCTCATTTCTGCGTATACATCAGCGTACGTCAATATCTCGCCACATTTGCGATTCCAGGGGGTGCCAGGCTGACATTTGTTTCGTTTCTTTTCGCTGTGACGAAGTATTCGAACATGCTGGCTTCAGATTGGAGTCGTAGGTGGGTAGCTCGTTAAAACATGACGTGATAGCGCTCGCTCGTACTTACGCCTCCTCGCGAAGCTCTGCTCGCATATGAATATGTCATCACCTTTGACCAGGAAGTCACTCTGTTCTGGAAGCGCAAGAAGACAGGAGCCACCGTCTTGTTCCTCGCAATTCGATACTTAACACTGTTGAGCTACGATTTCTTGGGCACTGCCACATTCGCTCCCATGTCCGATCAGGTACGCTCTTGCAGTCTTCGTCAACTTCGCCGGGCATCTATTGACGTTTCAATATCCATGTATAGAGGTATTATCTACGCTATAGAGCACTGCAGTACTGCGCAAACTGAATACTGCCACAGCTGTAGCACGGCCCAGAAGGTGCAATTTGTCGTGAGTCTCTGCCAGTACCCTTTCTGGGCCGGTAAGCTCGAGCTCGTTGTGCTATGACTGTGGCGCGTTTTAATACGACCCACTGTGCACCTCAACCCTTAGCCTTCTCCGGTCTACGTGCACTCGCGTTGAGCCGCCTGAATTGGCCGTTAGCCGTGGTAGTGTTTGTTCTGGCGCTCGCGCCTTTGGGCATGAATCTGGTGCGTACGCCCAAAATTTGGGGCACACATGATGAGCTGATAGGGCCTTCAGTGGCCCATGATTCTTAACCAGATATCCGGGACGAACATCCCCATTCTTGGCTGCGGAGCTGACGGAAGCCTGACGACCCGGCAGGCCTTAATGTAGGTCTATTCATTAATCAAGGGCTCGCGTTCGCACCCGCTGACGACTTAATCTTACTAGCGGTATATCCGCTCATTGCATCAGTTAGTTAGACGACATTGATCTTCTCGTTGTAGGTGTTATCGTGTCGCGCGCGTCTCTCATCGTGGCGGACATGCTCGTGGTCATCGTGACATGGATGTCATGGCGAAAGGGAATGAGCCACGCCGTGGCAGGAATGGTCCCGACGCTGTCGAATATCCTGATGTACAACGGTCAGTCCCATTTCGTCGACGTCCCCGAGTAATTTATCAGAGTAAACATGATGCTCATTTACATGTTTATATCCCACATAGGAACCATATATTTTCTGTGAGTACTTCATTCATAAGACTTTCTATGACGCTTGTTCACGATTTCCCTCGAAGGGTGGTCGTCATCTGCAACGCCGTCCACCTCACTCTGACCGTCATTTCCGTAAGCTCCGCATCCCCGGCTAGGATGTCGGGTATTGTTACTTATCCCAACCTACCTCTCCTAGATCACGACTCCGCTCACCCAAGTAAGCGAGGCGACGGCGCTGACAGATCCGTGAGCGGACACACTTTCAGTTCACTATATCCTCGTGCCTACTAACCGCTGCCACCTCCAGCCTCACGGCGATCCTCATCTGCCGCTTCCTGCTCGCCCTCCAGCACGCGAACCGGGCGACGGTCGACGGGAACACAGTGAGCGCGTCATACTTCGGCGGAGAAGACGCTGGCGGCCAGGACACGCTCCGGTTCGCGTCGGTCGTCATCGGCTCGATCGGCGAATCACTCGATGGGACGGACCGAGAGTCTCTAGAGGACGACGATGCACTCGAGGGCGATAGAGAACTCCCGGGGTCGGAGGAGACGATCGAAAAAGACACACCTTCGGAAATCGAGATGTCGATGCCAGACACCTTGGGCGGTTCGGAAGAGCGGGCGTGACGCGCCCGAGTTGACGCACGCGTAGTTGGGTGCGCTCCGAGTCGGAGGCCGCACGATCTTCTATACTTAGTGGCAAAGCTGTAGAAAGAGCGCGTACAGCACCTTGTTGTACTATATCGGAACCGAGCTCCAGATGAGCAAAAGCACTGTCGCCGATGAACAGTATATTCCCAATTCCGTTCCCCAGTCCGACGGGATCTCATACTGATATTTCTATTCCTTCACGAACACCTCCGAAGGACCCACCCGCTTGCCTTCACCTTTTCGGGATACTCAAGCCTGCAGCTCCACATAGTTCGCTATGGTACAATCTAGCATCAGCATACGAATTGATCCATAGTAAGAGAGCAGCGTACCAGGGAACAGCCCGACATTCCCGTGCGCGTCGGAGCCCTGCCACCAGTCCTCGGACGCGGCCTCGATCTGCGTGATCCGGTCCCCCTCTTTGAACGATAGCTCATTGTCCTCCGCGGCGTCGTAGCTGAGGTGGCAAAGGTGTCAGCACTATTAGTACCCACTAACGAAACAGAGGAACATACTCGTAGAGAGCGACAGCCCACGAGCCGAGGTCCTCCTCCGAAGCCGGCTCTGGCTCGGCATGTGCGGCAGCAGCGGGCGGGGGCGGAGGTGGGGGCTGAACATCAACCACAATTGTTAGCACAACCGATCTCTGAACGGTATGCGAGGGCTACGTACCGGGGGAGGGGGCGGAGGCGGAGAAGGCGGGGGCGGTGTCGCTGCCCGAGCTGTCTCTTGCTCAACAATCTCGACGTAGTTCGCTGTTCAAGAGATCAGGTTAGAAAGATCTATCATTTTATACCCCGTGGGTGATGGCGTACCAGGGAAGAGACCCTGCTTAGCGCCTCCAGCGCCTACGCCAGACCACCAGCCCTCATCAAGCTGCTCGATCTGCTCAATGAGTTCGCCCTCGTCGAGGTTCATCTCGTTGTCCTCTTGCGCCTGAAATATTTGTCAGTTCTGGAAAGTCGTGTTTGTGCGCTATGAGCCACATACCTCGTACGCGAACTGTACGATGGCGCAGATACCCTGGCCCTGGGCATGCGCAGGTTCGGGCTCTGGTACAGCCGCAGCTATTACAGGTGCAGCAGGAGCCACCGGGGGCGGAGGCGGCGGGGGAGGCTACAGGCATGCGGTCAGATTCGTTCGTTGACTGACTTCAATATTCGACTCACCGGGGGCGGCGGCGCGGCCTCCTCTTCTGGCTCTGGAGCATACTGGGCGGCAGCGGGAGGCGGTGGAGGCGGAGGGGGCGGAGGAGGTGGCGCCTCAAACTCCGGCGACGCGGCACGCACGGGGCGCGACGCGCTGGGGAGCGCAGGCGGGGCGGGAGGGGGTGGAGGCTATTCAACAGAATTCAGAGAGCGCTCTCAAGAACTTAGGAAATGATAGACTCACAGGAGCATACTCCTCTTCCTCCTCCGCAGGCGGCGGCGAAGGCGCGCGCGGCGGGGGAGGCACGCCGCGGAACGCAGGCGCAGGCGGCGCCTGCACCGACTCGAGCGCGCTCTCTGCGCGGGCCTCCTCTTCCTCCTGCTGTTTCTTCGCGAGCGCCTGACGCTCGCTCCACGTCAGCTTCTTCGCGCCGCCCGCGGGTTGCCCTCTGGACGCGGGCGCGGGGGGCTCCGCCTGAGCCTGAGCCTGCTTCGCCGCGAAGGGGTTCACGAGCTTCTTCGGCTGGAGCTTGATGGGCGTGTACGCGGTCCCGACAGGGCCGATCTTATCGTCATCTTCTGTAGGCTTTGTAGGGGTGTTGGACGCCGCGACGGGGGTGGGCGCTGCAGGCGCTGCGGGGGTAAACCTCGAAGCGACCTGTGCGGTTCACGTTAAGCATGTGCGCGTAGAATACGGATGGAAGAACGATGACGTACAGATGCAGCAGGCTTGGGCGCGCCAAACGTAGGGACAGGACGGTTCGCGGCCGGGGGCGGCGGAGGCGGAGCGTAGCTATTGTCCTCTTCTGGCCACGCGTCGGCGGGAGCCTTGTTCGCGATGGGGGCCCTCCCAAGTCCGGGCGCGGGCGAAGGCGCGAGTGGCACAGCGCGGGTGGCGCTGGGGGTAGGCCGCGCTGCAGCGGGAGCAGGTGGCGGGGCGGCAGGGGATGCGGTGGGACCTTTGCGAAGCGCGCCCATGTCGACCTTTCCGACGGGGGTATAGCTGGTCCCAACGGGCGCGATGGGCTCGAATTTGCGCGCAGTCTCTTTCTGGAACGAGTAGTTGACTCCAGATGCGGCTTCAACGCGGGTCATAATCAAGTCTGGGCTAACATCGGCCTGGACGCGCGGTTAGCTGGGGAGTGTAGAGGACGCATAGAAAGGGAGACGTACCTCGTTCCGGGCGTTGATTACGACATGCGTACCGCGGAGGAAGTTGGCGACGGCGCTGGAGTGGGTGTGGAAGAGACCCTTGCGGGCGACGGGGACACCATCGCCGCACCAGTTGATCTGCACGAACTTGGGCAGCCCGCTCTACAGATACGTTATGTTAGTGAGCATACACAACGCCACTTGGAGAATAACCACGTACGTTGGGGTCCTTGACGCGTGCAAACGCGTACTGCATCCTGCGCAGCCGTCAGAGCGTGCTCAGACGATATGCAGCGCAGTGCACGGGCGATAGGACGTACCTTCCATCCGAGAACTCCTCCTGGAGCTCTTCGAGACCACCATCTCCAACGGACTGCACCTTGAGATCATTCGAGGACTTGTCGTAGGTGAAGAGAGCCCAATCAATGCCGCGGGCGTGAACGACGTTCTCGTAAGCCTCGCTGAGGTCCCTGCTCGACAGATTGACCTGCAGAGACATCGCGGGATATCGTTTTTGTTACTGACAATACTAGAGGGATTCCTGGGACGAGAGTGGTAGTGGAAGAGCAGGGTTGAGATGTGGATGAGGGGGAGCGCGGATGAAGAGGCACCTGCGGAGAAGGCGATGATGTCGGCGGGCGCTTCGGACTTGGCCATGCTCTCCTCCGCCCATCAGCCACTTTTTCGGCTCCTGCGTCGAACCCATGCTCTGCCTCCTCCAACATCCCCCTAATCAATAGAAAGCTATGTCAGAAGTCACTGAGGCTCGGCCCAGAGGTGTGAAATTTGTTTTCGTCCAATTGCAACGCCCTGACGCCTCGGTCCGAAGAGATCAGCCCTGCTCTCGATTTCTTGGCCGGGACAGTTGCGGGTGCGTAACACTGCATCACACTGGTGTGCGCAGTACGTTAAACTACACAATGCACAGGCATGGCTGCGGTAGTGGTCGGATACCCATTTGACACCGGTAAGTCACCTCGGTCCGATCTGGCTGCGCGCACCCTCACCTGGCAGCCCAGTGAAGGTGCGGTTCCAGAACCCGCAGATAGCATCCAAATATCGCTCGACCGCCCACGCCGTATTCACGATTGTGCGCGAAGAACGAATACGAGGTCTCTACCGTGGCATGATTGCACCGCTCGTACGTGCTCAGTCCACATCCATACCATGAAGAAGTGGCCCCACGCAGCAGTGCGCTAACGTGTCATGTTCAAACATACTGCATCGTTCCGTATATAGGCTGGCGCACCGCCACTAAATGGACTTGTGTTCTCTACGTACCGGTCATTACTGCAAGCACAGCTTGGAGATGAGCCCACTACCCCTACACTCACCCAGATTAACCTAGCAGGCGCCGGAAGCGGCGTTCTATCCTCGTATGTTTTTCTCTATATACCCTCGACCCTCCGTTGTTAACCAATTCTATTTCCTAAGCCTAATCACCACTCCCGCAGAGCTCATCAAGATACACCAGCAATCGCTCGTACGCACCGCCCATTCCCCGGCTGCCCTGCGCGACCGCGATGTCGTTCTGCACATCTGGCGGCACCACGGCCTTCGGGGCTTCTACCGCGGCATCGGCGCGACCGCCCTCCGCGACGTCGGATATGGCGCCTACTTCGCAGCATACGAGGCCACCCTGCGCTACTGGCCGCGCCCGTACTCTGCCTCCGCAGACGCGGGAGGCTCGAAGCTCGAGAACCACTCGCTCGCCGCGCTACTCACCGCGGGCGGGACAGCGGGCGTCGCGGGCTGGATCGTCACCTTCCCATTCGACGTCGTCAAGACGCGCATGCAGACCACTGCGGCGGGCGCGCCGAACAACCCGTACCGCACGATGTGGTCGACGATAGTCGCCTCGTACCGCGCGGAGGGTCTGGGCGTGTTCTTCCGCGGGCTCGCGCCGACACTCATACGGTATGTGGGCCGGTCCCAGTGCCCCATTGCGAGGAGCTTTGCTGATGGTCTGATCTTGCAGAGCTATACCTGTTAATATGGTGACGTTTACGACCTACGAGGCCGTCGTTCACCTGTGCACGTAGCGCCATTTGTACCGTACGTCTTTATGTTGTCATAATAACGCCCAGCTCGAACTTCGCCTTCGTGCATTTGAGCTGCAACCACGTAATCATACAAAACTGGGACAGGACGATTCCTATATCTACATACCGATGAACTACGCCACTCTGGGATACCAACCTTTGCACCGACAACTATGCCTGTGCCTTCTCTGACGAACCGTTTCCACTTATCGAGGAACTCATTCCCCATATCCCTTGGGCAGGGACCCGCCGTCGGCGGACGAAGCCGAGTCCTTCTCGCCCAGCTCCCCCATGTCGTCCGCGGAGTCAACGAGGTCGAGCTCCGGATCCGTCTCAGTGAGCGACTCGCCGATCGAGCCAATAACGACCGACGCGAAGCGCAGGCCTGTGTCCCCGCCCGTGTCGTGATCCCCGAGCGAGTGCGTGGAGCGCAGCGTATCCCGGCCGAGCGCGGTCTGGTTTGCACGCTGCAAGGCGAGGAAGAAGCGGCAGATGAGGATTGTGGTGATGCTATGTGAGGGAGGCCCGATCCGTGAGGCGCAGCACAGAGTGAACGGTGTGCGTGCTTACGGATCCGTGAGCGCCGTCACCTGGCTGGTCTGTTGGAGCGGGGTCGTGATCTATGTGAATATATCGACGTCAGCACGAGGTGTGTCTTGACTCGCTGAGGACGGGTGGCAGCTTACGGAGAGGAGAGTCAGGATAAGATGGAGCGTGTTGCACACAACGACGACTCTGCGAGGGAATCAGTGGATTGCACACTGGCCACACGGATGTAATGGAGGAGCTCACACGAAGTAAATCATGCCTACACAGAACACGAGCTAGGCATGAGGTCGTTAAGGTGCTGACATGAGAAGGAACACTCACCGTTGTGCATGAGCGTGTGCGCTAGCGTTGGGCCCACACCTCCGCCGGCGCGGCTCGTCCTCCCAAGCGACCGCCATGTCACGAGAATAACCAGCACGTCTGCCAATATCAGGCACGAGCGCGACATGACTGCGTCTGTGAAAAAATCAGCGTTGGTGGGCAGTAGGAGCGATGTCGTAGAGCGACTATACCGCTGGGAAAGCTAAGGGTCAGCGTGCGGGACGGCAAGAGTCATCGGCAGTGGACTGACATGAGACTCTGGCGGGTGGTCAAATTCTCAAAGCCACCGCAGCCGAGGATAGGTATGTTCATCCCGCCCGTCTTGTCGAGGGCCACCGGCCACTGCAAAAAGCACGCCATTAGCCCAGTACGATGCGGATACAAGCCTCCTGAATAGATACATACAATATTCACGAGGAACGGCGCGAGAGCCAAGACGAACACCGACAGAGCCAGTGGCCAGTTCATCCCGCTCATCGCCAGTGCCCGAAGGGCCGAGAATGCTTGAGGGAATCGAATGAGAGCGACCAAAGACTGATCTTGGAAGGAACGTACCGGCCCAGAGAGGATATTGACAAAAATTGATGACGAACTGTACCTTTTGCAGTATCGAGCAACTAGAGCGGCTCGTCAAATATCGCGATAGTCACGTTCAGGAATGTTGATACCTCTATCCGAGTACTCCATGTCATTACTAGTAAACTAAGCATATAACAGGATGACGTACCTGGTCGGGTAGCGGCGAAAAGGTCGCCGTGAGCATGAAGTCGTAGCTCAGCAGCGCCGTGTATCGTGTGCCCAGGAAGAGGACGGTGGCGCCGGTAATCTTCGGCTTCCAGAACAGCGCGACTTCTTGGTCGAAAGTGATGACATACTCGTACGCCAGTAGGGCTTCGTGCAGGTTACGAGTGAGTAGGCGTTGGTAGTGACTCCGCGTTAGAAGATATGCGTACCTACGGACGCAATCTGAAGCCAGCACGTATGTTGTCTGATAGTAGAGGGCACAATCAGGTCTGATGATTTAGGTCGTGGTAGCGGAAAGAGGCTTACGCGGATGTATACGCAGAGATGAGCTGAGTCGTCTGCGAATCGTAGGGGTTTGACATCGTATAAGCGAACGCGGGTCCGTCGATGGCGACATGCTGGGGGCACAGCGTTATATCTCGAGGACCCATTTATCGGCACCGCCGCGCCGTCAGCCGCCCAAGAATAGAAGCTGAGAATGCGTATCTTCATCTTCAGAGGCTGGCAAGTTCTGACGGATGGCAGAATCGGTGTTCCTCTGTGGGACCGTGTCTCCGGCGTCGGGTACAGATCCGCCGCACTAGCGACGATCTGCTCCAAAATATCGCAAACGCATGCGAAATAAGTGCGAGCGGGATGCTATACAATGACGAAGATGCTTTGACGCAATTGTCTGTTGATCTGGTCATTCAACGAAGATGACTCGTGGGAGTCTGCGAGCTCACCTCAGCGATCCAGTCGTGCGAACGTGAAACTGCTCCCCGAGCCACGGCGTGTCAGCTCATCGTGTCTCATGCTCCGCGGGAGAACAGCTTGCGTACCACGGCGGCCGTCAGTCTGCCCATGGAGAAAGCATCGCGAAGGATGACGGAATAAGTAACTTCAAACGCGCATCGTCGGCGATAGTGGTGTCAACCCTCAGGCTTCCATCGAGCAGCGCATTCCCGTGCCCTTCGTCACATGCTGCAGGCTTGATCCCACAGCTATGACTCAGAGAAAAGTGCTCCGGACCACCAGTGTCAATGAGCTGGGGGGTAGAGGGGGATGGCGGCACGACGAACGGATCGTAGAGCCAGGGGCGGCATACCTATTGACCGAGGCGCACGAGAGTGACGTCCCAATTTGGATTTCTACTTGCCACCCCAACCACGAGCGGCTCAACGAGAATGCGGTTGGTGCGAGTCGGAGCCCAGTATCTCCGGGGTCGAAGCTGCCACAGGGGAGCGGCACAACTTTGTGGACAGGCAGGAACCCGATGCTGAGCCCATCACCATGCGAGTGCTCACCTTGTTGTCTTGTACGCGAGACTGATGACATGGGCCGAAGGGGTCTGTGGCTACATGGTCATCTCGGAGGACCTTCATTTCGCGGGATTGAATAACTCGTAAGTGCGTGCGTGCGCTGGTGTTAAAAACAACATACAGCAAATTGGCATTGGCCGAGCAAAGGGTGGCGATCAGCCCACGAGGGACGTCTGCATGAGAGATATAGAATTGACGAATGTATCGTGAGCGTTCGGTGTTAGGTACTCTGCGGTAGAGTACTGTCGTCGCTCGAGGTACACAGGGGCAAAAAGAGGCTGGTGTACACTTTGAATGGCACCTGCACAGGCACTAACCCTGCCGTGGTCAGTTGGGCGTCGTGTTTTGGAGCTCGAGCGACGATGGTGGACTATAAAAGAGGACGAAGTCAACCGCCATATCCTCAGCCTACAAGGTCATCCTGCACTCGCAACACCAGAACACAGCACTCACAATGCGCTTCTCCGCCATCCTCGCTCTTATATCCTCCATCGGATTCGTTATGGCCAGCCCCGCTCCCGCTGAGGGGCCCGTTTACGCCGTCCATGGCGGAGACGCCGCGACGGTCCCCACCCCAGAGTCCGGGTGTGGCTCGTACGGGCCTCTCGGGAATAGCTCCAGCATCTGGTACATCGTCAGAACCTGTACCCCGGGTGCTCGCATGTAAGCCCCCGCCGTGTCTTCGTGCTTACCTATGCTCACGCGGCGCGACTGTGCCGCAACAGGAGCTGCCAGGCGACTGATCACAACGGATGCGTCCCCGGCGACACCACGCACATCAATTCCCTGGAGGTCGATGTACGTCCGCGTGCTTAGCTGTTTGCGCCCGAAGCAAATTGCACGGCGGAGTGATGTTGATCGCTGACGACGCATGAGTATCAGGACCCGAACGACACGTTCAACGTCGCCAAAGGCACCCACGTGAACACGGTGGTGTTCAACTGCCCCGAGGGTGGCCAGGTCCGCTGCCAGGTGGACCTGGACTCTAAGAGCCAGGCTCCGAACTACAGCCTCCGCAGTGAGCAGATTTTGCTACGTCTTCCGCATGCGACCGGACTCATTCTTCATGTCAGCCTTTGCAAACGCCGATTAAATCGACAGTCGCAAGTATCGGATTGATTCAGGACGGTATATGAAGTAGCTTGAGTTTCAAGTTGTATGGGCAGCGTGTTGAAGCGTGTCTTGCCAGTGTACGAGTAGAGCGAGCGGATTCGTCAGGCCCTCTGGTATATGCAGAAATATAAGCGTTTTTCGCAGTGACTTCGGTGTGATACAGGTTGGATGACTTACCCTTCTGTTTTCGCTTTGAGCTTGTATTCAAGGTCTTGTAATGAGCGCAATTGAGAGGAGGCGCGAAGCTAATGCCATCTGTGCACGAGGCCTCTGAATGAAAAAAAATGCTAATTACGAGCCGTACCGCATTGAGATCAACCGCATCGACAAGAACATCGCAAACCATAACATATGGTGCAAAGTCAATCGGCGTGGTTGTGAAGTGAGCCCAGAGCTCAAAAAAGACTGTTTTACTTGGAACAGACCGATGTCGAGAGAGGAAAGCAGGAGCCTTTAAAGCGCTCACGAAGGTTTGAGTGAGTGCGGTGCAAGTTCCCACGCTACCATCTCTTTTGCCGTCCTCACTCGTCCGACTCAGCTCTCTCGACCATCACGCTCGTTCTCGCATAGCACCAAGCTTTTCTTCAACATACTCTGAAAATGGGACTTACGCGGAGCGGTGCAGGCTAGCTCGTACACATCGACGTCATACCTCTACCGCCGGCCATGCCACGTGCGCGCAAACACAGGAAACGCACCGCTCGCAGCATCACAAGCCGCAAATGAGCCACCATGTACAACTGTGCACGTCTATATTTCTTGCCTCGATACGGGGCGGCCACCCATCTATCCTTGCTGGTACGAGTGCTCCATGCTGCTGTGCAACATCGAACGCTCACCTCTCCAATAATGCAGCTGCGGGGGTAGCGGTCGGACGCCCGAAACGCACCCCAAAGTCGACATCAGCTGCTTCTGGCAGCGCATAGCGGGGCGTCGGGATGCTTCTGCAACGACGCCCGACCTCGATCGGACGATGCGCCCGGGGCAAACGCTCTATTGCGTCACTACTCCGGGTACGTTACGGGCACTCCCGTGCATGGCAATGTGCCGAAGCCAGAAGCACAGTCACGACGGTGTATGTTGCGGTCTGTTGTGCTCCAGTGAGCAGTCTGTAGGTGGAGTGCATTCTCGGTTGCCGTGTCTTGAAACAGTGTGCGGTCGAGTGCTCACTTCATTTATCGTTTCACAGCCGCTGACATCAGACGCTATGGACCGTTGGACGTAAACACTGAGCCATCCTCACTGAGTACGCTCGAGGAAGCAGACACTTAGCCATTCGAGCGAGTCGGTCAAGCGCAGTCTTGGGGAGAGGAAAACGTATAAAAACCTCTGCGTCCTTGCCAGTTCCCTCCAGTCACCCAGACTTCCTCAGCTACATCGAACACCCACCACTCGCCACTCGCCTTCACCACCACCCATCATCTATTCACAATGCGCTTCTCCACCATCCTTGCCCTCGTCACCTCCGCCGCCCTCGTCTCGGCCACGCCTTCCCCCGCCGACGCGTCGCTCGTCGCCCGCTCCGGCGACGGCAGCATCTCGCTCGCCAAGCGTTCCGGGTGCGGCTCGACGGGCCCGCTCGGCGACGGCCACTTCATCTGGTGGATCACCGCCTCCTGCACGCCTGGCGAGGCGAAGTACGACTCCCTCCCGTTTACTTCTCACTCGTGCTGACCGTTCGTTGTACCATGCAGGACCTGCCAAGTCACGGACAAGACCGGCTGCCTCCCGGGTGACACCAGCAAGATCGGCTCCGTCGAGGTCGACGTACGTGCTCCCGCTCCGACATGAGTCATGCGTGCGCTGACAATCCGTTTACCACAGAACCCGGACGACACGACGCAGATCGCGAAGAAGAGCGGCACGAACACGCTGCCCTTCACCTGCCCGTCGGGCGGGCAGGTCCGCTGCCAGGCCAACTTCAACGACAACGACGACGGCCCGGGCTACAGCCTCCGTGGTACGTACTTCTTTCTCCAGGCTCCACTACGCCATTACTGACCTGGGTACATGTAGTCTTCTGAGCTACTCGCAAGCTCTATCATAGTCTTGTATAATCCGTGTAACTATAAGCGATGATTCGCCCATGTATGCATGCGTTGGACAATGTAGTTTTGTGCTGATCGCTTCGCGGGGGTTGTCAGTGGTTGCCTGAACCTACTCTATTCATCGCGAGTTTTGCAACCGGACAGGACGAACGATCATGTCGACATCATCGACGATGACGGCGGCCCCGACTGGGTCAACGTCGATGATAACAAGCAACCGATACCTGATCGCAAGCCCGAGGTTGCACCATGGGACGGAAAATGGCCCCTCTATGCCGGCTACACGGGTCCGGAGATCTTTATCTATATCCCAAACGACAGCCCATTCCGGCGAGGCGAGATCATGCGCGTGAAGACACGGACACTTAGTTCACTATGCCTCAAAGACCGCAGCGCGTAGGTGCCTACAAGAGCCTATGTGAAGGCGAACACGACAGTGCGGCCTTCAATTGAAAAAGTGAGTGGAAAAGCTCGACGTGTGTCTCTACTTGGGGATGCGGGTGCTCACATTCGTTGACGTGAACGTGGATGAAGCACTCACTGACGTGTAGGAGATCGAGCGCGCGGGTACGAGCGAGAGCGAGCGCGGGATCGTCGCGTTTGGCCGAGTGCAAACGCGTGCATATATTCGACCTCGAGCGGACGGTTATATACGTACATGAGTGGCGCATATCTAGGTAAACACAACGACGAATAAAACAATAAACTACTCTACGAGAACAAGAGCGAGCCGTCTCGCTCGCTACCGAGTACAATAAGCACTAAATTCCACACGACGAACATGGGGTTTCTGGAACCCTTGAACCGGGATCCGAAACCGTTTGAACCTTGGTGGACTTGGTGGATGGATGGGCTCGCGAGGGGCCGCGGTAGCATGAGCATGAGCACGAGCAGGAGGACTTGACGAACAGTTAGACTTTTGCGCCAAAAGTACAGCCACCATCGGACATTCCGGCCCGATCGCTTATGATCGAGTTCATATAGAGCGCTGTCCGCTCGAAACGGAGTTCGTGCTTCTCTCCCTCTCCGCTTCCTAGCCGCTCACAGCGCATCGCTTCATGCCTCTTGTCTTCGAAATCTCGTGCGACATCCCCTCTGAATTCTACCCTGGAAGATGCGAAGGATTCGAAGAATACATCACGCTCAAGGAACAAACATGCTACGACTACCGCCATCCACCAGACCCTAGGCGTTTGTACGTCGAGGGGCAGCGCTCGGTCAGGGAGAACACCCCCGAGGTTATAATGTATGGCCTGCAAATCGACGACGGGCCACTCATGCTTGAGTTTTGCTTAAGGTGCGCCGAACTCTCCCTCCAGGTCGTCCATGTCTGCAGGAGATGTCACACGAAGAATCGAATGAACTGCAGGCAACGTGTCAGTCTGTCCGACTGGCGACCGTGATACCAATTCATTGCTAATCTGTGCTGTCCCGACTCTCCAGAATGCTCTCCGTCTGCAACCCCCCAGTTGGCTCAGGCATAAACCCAATGCGCATCGCCGAGCGCCTGTCTGGGTTCAAACCGCACCTCACCTACAGCACCGTCGACAACCCCGGGGTAGATTTAGAGTTCTCAGACGACGAGGACGAGGACCCCTCCCCGCCCCCCAATCTCCGCAACACCACCACCCGGACGCGCCTCCAAGCGCTCGCGTGCTACGCGCACATGTTCTTCTTCTCCTGCTGGGCTGACGACAAGCGCGCGTTGAGCTGGCACGGCAACCGCCAGATGTCGTACGCGCTCTACTACGCGTGCTGCGCCGCGAACTTCTGCATCAGCCATGGATTCGTGCCCATCGTCGCCATTCGCATCGCGTCCTGGCTCGCGACGACGCGCGCGCGGTACGGCCTGGACGTACGCACCGCAAGAGAGTTTTGCGACCTGCGGCACCTGTGGAACGCACACAGCAGTTACTTGTCGCGTCTCCAGGTAAAAGAGACCGCGCGGCTCAAGAAAACTAAGAAGGCGCCTCACCACTACCGGTGCGCCCATAACGGCTGCGAGATTCAAGCCACTAACAAGAGTTCGCTGCTGAAATGCGGGGGCGCCTGTCCGCCAGAGCGGAAGCCCCGCTACTGCAGTGCTAGCTGCCAACGTCAGGTATGTCATGTGCCGCTCTTGCATGCCCAGGGTTACTTAGCTTTCCGTCAGCATTGGTACATCCACCGCGAGTTCTGCAAACCCGACAACACAAACGACTACCCTGCCATCATCGACGACGATGGCGACCCCGACTGGATCGAAGTGGACGACTTCCATCCGCCAACCACTGGCAACGTCCCCGTCCCTCCCTGGAGCGCCGAATGGGACCTGTTCGCCGATGGCGAGGGCCGTGAGATCTTCATCGACATCCCGAACGACAGCCCGTTCCGCAAGGGCGAGATCTGGCGTGTCAAGACGCGCACGCTCAGTCCCATGTGCCTCAAGGCGTACCGCACGGTGTGGAAACAGGCCAAACCCGCCGCGAAGGCGAAGATGAGGTCCTTCGTTAATAAAGGTGAGCGCGGGATCACGACCTGTAGTTCTTGAGGGTGCGGATGTTGACGATGTGTGTGAAGTGATGACACACCCGCCAGAAAACATGGGATTTCCGGGGGGTCCTGAGCCACGGCAGCTCGGACCATGGTGATCACTTCTTGTGCATGCTTGGCGGGCGATAGCATGAGCAAGTGGACGCGTGGGCGTAGAGCGCAGTCGCCGGTGGTAGTCGGAATGGGGAGATACACTAGTAGTTACACAGCTATTTAGAGATCGTGGTCGCCGGTCTGCTCGCCCATGCAAGCTCAGCATTCCACCACATCGCCCGCCTGGGATGAGATGACCAGCACATCCTCGCATGCTCCGCCCGACAGCTCACCGCTGCCCTGTCCGTCGTCGGCGTCGGGTACACCTTCCTCGCTCTCCTCGCCGTCCAGCGTACTCGCGCCGTGTCGCGCCGGGACAGACACCGTGGCGATAGATCCTATCATCCTCGAAGCGAACCGGAGGGTGTCGCTGCCTCCATGGTGCGCGTCCTCCGTCGCGGAGCCCTGCCCCAGCGCTTGCTGGTTCGCCGCCTGGAGGGCGAGCAGGAAGCGGCAGGTTAATATGTTGGTCAGGCTGTCAGTTGTAAGATGTTCAGTTGCTGTCAGGGGTTTAGGAAACGGCGGGGCCCTACGGGTCCGTGAACACGGTCACGAGGCTAATGGGTTCGAAGCCGTCTGCGACCTAAGGGAAGGCAGGCAAGGTAGGTTACTAATGATGTTACGAGTGACGACGCAGATATTTGTGTACCGAGAGAAGAGTGAAAAGGAGATGGAGGATGTTGAGGGTTAGGAGTGTGCTGCGGAGTGTGCAAGGATTCTGTTCAGATCTCGCTAGCTAGTGTAGTACGTGACATCGAGGGATGGCTCACAGGAAGTAGATCGTGCCTGTACAATAGAATCAAATTAGCAGAGGACTCGATACATGTCGTAGATAGCCTACGCCGACTCACCATTGATGAGCAGAGCGCTCGCTATCGACGAGTGCGGAAGTCCGGTGAGGACGCCTTGAGCATTTTTGGCAGAGCGCCAGGTTACCATGATGGCGATGGTGTCTGCGACGATTGCGCATGAACGCGACACGGCGACACCTGACGTAAAGGCGACGGGTTAAGTAGAAGTGAGGTGCGTCACGGACTATACTATATACAGACCCCTATGGTCATACATCAATGCCGCCTGCCTCCGCCCGTACGAAAAGGACACTTACATGATAGCTTCCGTGCGGGTTATGTTGACACTACCAGCGCATCCAAACGGCGGAAAAATTTCCCCCACGAGACTGAGCGACATTGTGTGCTGGCACATCATATCAGGTACGCATGCTGCGCTATGGAAAAAGACTGTCAAAGTACCACGTTGACCGCAAACGGGCCGAGCGCGAAGACGAAAACAACGATCGCCAGCATGTAGTTCATCTTGCTCAATGCGAGCGTGCGCATACTGGAGAATGCTGCCAGCCAGGTATAGAGGTGAGGATTGGTCAAAGAAGGACGGGTCAAGGCTCCATGCTTCGGCAACTTACCTGCGAAGAAGACGTATTGCATGCCGCTGAACGCAGGTTGAGCAATGGCAATACCCATGCAGCTGCAGAATTTTGTCGATAACTTGGTTCGACGTCGTAGTGACCCATAAACGTTTCCGTACCTCTGCAGAGTATATTGATTAGAAACTAGAGGTATTTAGAACTTAGAATATTGAACGTATGAATCACCTTTTCAGTCATCGGAGTGTACGTTGCTGTGCCGAGGATAGAGTAGGCCAGGACACCGATGTAACGTGTTCCAAGGTACAGTGCCGTCGCACCACTCATATTACGCCTCCAGAACAGAGCGACTTCCTGGTCGATAGTGATAAGATAGTCGTAAGTAATCAGCGCTGATTACGATGGGGATGGAAGAGCGATGAGATTAGCATGCAAGTCGCTGTGCTGCGAAAGAGGTTTACATACCAGTCGCCCCCATTTCAACGAGGCCCTGGTGGTAACTGAGCAGCGATGCGGCCAAAGACAGCACAATTAGCTGAGATTCGCGAGGACGAATTAATACGCACAAAGACGAGAACACCGGGACGGGGATGGTTGACATGGTGACGCAGGGCGAATCGAAGCTGGGATCAGACTTGGCTCGACTAGATACGATGGGCTCTCAGAAAACGCCTACGACGAGTGCGGCTTATATGCACGACATGTCCGTACAATCAACGACAGGGACCCAAGGTTCTGTCTGATGTCGGAGAGCGAGTAGAAACCATCTGAAGCGACTGGATGGATAGAAGCTTGACATATTCGCGATTCAGGCTGTGAGGACGGGAAGATTGTGGACACCGTCCGCAGTGTATCAAATTTTCAGACACAGTATGAGAACGCGAGACGAGACGGACCGTGGTGTGCAGGTACGCAAAACCCTCGTTCGAATCCTGCGCCTGTGATCCCTCAAGAGGCTAAGAGCGTTCTGAGGCCACGAACGCTTCCCCGCCCTGGGGATACGAGAACTGCCAGGGTACATGGAGTACCTGCAAATAGCATGTTCAAGCTTCAATCAAACGAAGTCCACTGGCGAGAGAGGTGAACCCACCTCTGGCATAGAAGATGAAGTTCGTCAAACCTAAGGTCTGACCGGGACCGTCTGAGTTGCACCGCCAGTGTCCTGGTATCACTATCTACGGCCGCAAGCTAAGTCGAGTGATTGAACTGCTGGACCGACCCATAGCGCCCGCGATGTGCCCTAGAACTATATCTGACGTGTCGTGCACCCTATGGGTCAGCTGAGGAGAGGTGGGCGCGGACGCTAATAACTATCGGTTTTCATCAGTGGCATGCGAGCGTTTATTTTAGAATTGGCATACCGGTATATAGCTATAGATACCCTGCAAGCCGAGGAGCGATAGGGTGTGCACATAACATAGCATGGTCGGGATGCGGATGCCACCTCGCCGTGAGCGTCGCAATTAATGTTCAGACGGGGAAAGCATGATTTTTTGTGCGTATGTATTCCTGCAATCTTCGCTCAGGACCAGTGCGGGAAGGAGTGGGCGACTCTGAGGTGTCCTTCACAGAGTTCCAGTTGTATCGTCAAGTAATATCTTAAATGCTGATCAGAACACAATATGACGCCAGTACGTGGCCAGAGGAAACATCGAGACTCGAGAAACGGCCAACGACGGCCAGCCCAGGCTAGAGCGATGGTGGTGGTGGAAGAGAAGAAGGAAAATTCTCGCACGTTGCACTTCGGGCGAGAGACACGTGGTCGCGTAGGGCGTCTGTAAGACGAAGGCGTCGCCGCAAAGTCCGGAACCGCTCCTAGGCTTGCAATTTCATTCTCTCTGCTCTGTCGTCTGCTTGCCGATTGTTGAGGTTATTCAGAATGGGGAGCTACTCATGTAGTTCACAGGTAATTCAGATATCATGAGCGCGCGCGTGCTCGCACAAGCTTCAACATTCCACAACATCGCCCGCCTGAGAGGAGATGTCGAGCACATCCTCGCACCTTCCGCCCTCCAACGCCCGACAGCCCCGTCCATCGTCGGCCTCGGGATCACCTCCCTCGCTCTCCTCCTCCTCGCCGTCAAACCCACCCACCCCGTGTCCCGCCGGGATAGACGCAGCGATAGACCCAATGATCCTCGACGCGAACTGCAGGGTGCTACTGCCTCCGCGCTCATCGTCCTCCCCATCCTCCGCAGAGCCCTGCCCGAGCGCTTGTTGGTTCGCCGACTGCAGGGCGAGCAGGAAGCGGCAGGTGAGGACGGTGGCCAGGCTGTTGCGAGCCAGTGTCTAGTTTTCGTGAGCGTCGCGCGGAGAGGCGGTGGGTGCTTACGGGTCTGTGAATACCGTGACAAGGCTGACGGGTTCGAGGGCGTCGACGACCTGTGCGGGGATGAGTGTGCTGTGAGTGCTGTCACAGCAACTTGTAGAGGGAGTACTATACTGAGAGGAGTGTGAGCAGAAGGTGAAAGGTGTTCATAGTGACGAAGACTCTAAGAAGCGTGCGCGGTTCCTGATGAGATAAGTCCAGACGGGATATGCCCATGCATAACTCACAAGAAGTAGATCGTGCCTGCGCAACAGCACTAATCAATATCGAGTACGCCGTACATATACTGGTCGACTACCCACGTACCGTTTACGAACAGAGTGCTCGCGACCGACGACCGTCTGTCACCAGCGAGAACTCCGTGTACATTCACCGTAGAGCGCCAAGTGACCGTGATAGCGATGATATCCGCAATAATCGCGCACGAACGCGATACGACGACACCCCTGCGTAAGATGTATACGCGTATGAGCATCGTGTGCTGTCGAATATATGAAGGACATGCTCACATGATAGCCAGTGCCTGCGTCAGATCCGCGCCGCCTCCGCACCCAAACGGCGCTATGTTCGTCCCAACGAGTCCCAAGGATATGGTGTGCTAACAAACTGAGTCGGTATCATATGCCGATACTGTGGTGCAAGATGGACTCGGAGTCTAGGTACTCACTAGGTTAATCACGAACGGGCCGAGCGCGAAGATGAAGACCGCGAATGCTAGATAGTAGTTCATCTTGCTCAACGCGAGCGTGCGTAACCCGGAGAAGGCTGTAGACCGACAACCAAGGGGACATAATTAATCATGCATGGCTGAGGCGCGAAGCCCAAAAGACATATTGAACGATGTTGACCGCAGCTTGGGCATTGACGATACGGGTGCAACTGCAAAGGCGACTTGATCTGTCTCACAGCGCGCGGACTGCGTCGATTCTCTTACCTCTGTAATGTGGCGGTTAGCATGCGGAGTGCAACGACATCTGGCGCTGTTCAAAAATTCGGTACTCACCTTGTCAGACATGGGCGCGTACGTCGCGGCTCCAAGGAAGGAGTAGGTCAAGAGACCGATGTAACGCGTCCCGAAGAACAGCGCCGTTGCACCAGTCGGCTTGCGTTTCCAAAACAATGTGACTTCTTGATTGAAGGTGATTATATACTCGTACGCGATCAGGGCTGTCCACGACGGGTACGGGAGAGCAACATCGTTAGTATGCGAATCGTTGCGCCGCAAAGGAGGTGATTTGCATACCAATCGCCGCCATTTCGAGGAGATCCTCCTGGTAGCTACGTAGCGGTAGAACGCAAAACATACAATCAGCGGGCGCTGGCGAGGTCCATGCAGTTGTACGTACATCGCCGAAAGCACCTGGACGGGTACTGCGGACATGGTGGCGCGGGCTGACTGAAGCTCTGGATAAGGGGGAGATGGATGAGACGGTGCAATCCCAGAGAACGAATGCGCCGCCCCGGCTTATGTATGTAACGCACCTTTGCATACATCAACGTGAGTGAGAACCCGTGCCTCCGCCCGGGGTTGGGAAGCGAGTAGAAACAACCATGAGTGACCAGGTGGACTGGTAGCAATAGCGAATCCGCCGCTGCGTTCTTAGTTGTCACTACCACGGATGATCAAGGGAAGGACGCGAAGGGCTTCAGCAGGTCTATCCGCAGGCCGCGTGAGCGCGCAGAAGTCTATCGGTATAAGAGCGCGAGATACGAACAGAGGCGTGTACTGAAAGAATGTCTTCACCTTATTTTACCCAATTCGATTCCTACAATAGCGAGGGTTATCTCGCGCGACGCGTAGCGCACCTTTAGGCCGTGACAGTCCTTCATGTCGAAGGAACTTGCAGGAATGAACGCGTGCACGGAGCGGCCAGGGAGACAGGGAGTCGCACAGCCAGCTGTCGAGCAAGGTTGATCTACTTCCAACAGAGAAGACGTAGTCCGTCAAACCTAAGTTATGATCTTCTGAGCTGCACCGCCGATGATCTTCATCTGCGCCCAGTTTAGTGACGGAAATACGGACCGATGCACGACACCTGGAATGTACCCTCAGCCCATGTCTTCGAATGTCGATACCGGTCAGCAGAGAAGATGTTAACAAAGCTACCGTGAGGCCTCCCCCAATGCAGTACACATTTCCCAGGCGCAGAGTGATTGCCTGATAGCGGTTTCGTAGGGTACACCTATTGCGCGCCGGGACCCAGATTTGCAGTCAGTGCCTAAGCAGGTAAGGTTCAAGTGGGGACTTAAGTAGTTCTTCCCCGTAAATACAGGCTCCTGCCATACTTTGTCAAACGTGCTACGATAGGAATGTGCAACATACGCTAGGGCAGCGAAGAAGGGTCACTGTGACCGGTCCATTGATGTCGCAAGGAGGCGCGACGAAGTTATATCGCCTAGAACCAGCTCGGTGATGATATTAAGAACCGAGTAGGGCGTGCTAAGACGCGCGCCGGATAGCGGGCAACGACGGAGAGTGCGAGAGAAGAAGGATGGTGGTGGAAGAGAAGAAGGAAGAAGACCGACAATTCTCGCGCGTTCCAGTTCAGCGAGAGACACGTGATCGCGTAGGGCGCCTGTATAAGGGCAGGACGTCGCCGGAATGTCCGGAACTGCTCCTACTCTTTCGCTCTCCCTTTGCTTTCTCGTCTGCCCTTGCTACTCAACGCTTTTCTTGTATATCTAACCTATCTCTAATCATGCTCCGCAAACAATTGGCCTCAACAAGACTCCAAGGATCGCTTGCTGTCCGCCGCCTACCGCCTCGCAATGCACTCGCCGCTCTCCCTCCCCGCGCGCCTCTCTCCCGCATCTCGCCATGTCCCAGGCTTGCAACAGGACCTCTCGTACTCTCGCGTTCATATGCACAGGGTCCACCGGGAGGAGGCGCGGGTGGATTTCCCGGGTTCAACATGATGGGACAGCAGCGGCAGAAGGGCGAGGCTCTCAAGGAATACGTGAGTTTCCTCCACATTCGTCTCGTTTCCGTCCCTCTCTTGCGTGGTTGCTCAAGTTGCAACTATCAAACTACTCTCCCACGGAGTGCTGACTGCATGTCGCCAGAGTGTCGACCTTACCGAGCTAGCAAAGAACGGCAAGCTTGACCCTACCATCGGTCGCGACGAAGGTATGTCCAGTTCCTCATCCCTCCCCCTGCCTCGCTGACTGCAGTATATATGCAGAGATTCGAAGAACAATTCAAAGTGAGATTTTGCCTCCCTAAACCTACTCTTTCCTCCCCGCTGACCATGAGCAGTCCTCTCTCGCCGGACGAAGTCTAACCCAGTCGTAAGTCCCTCGCACCCGAGCTGCTTTTTCGCAGTCTCATTTATCCTTCCTAGCTCATCGGCCCGCCTGGTGTAGGCAAAACCGCTATTCTCGAAGGCCTCGCGCAGCGTATAGTTGCCAAGGAAGTGCCAGAGGTGTGTTCTACTTTGCCGCAACATGTATGTCATAGTCTCACAGTACATCCTCTGTAGTCTCTTCAAAACAAGCGCGTTCTGTCACTAGACCTTGCCGCTATCATGGCAGGCTCTGGCATCCGCGGGCAGTTCGAGGAGAAGTTCAAGGCCCTCATCAAGGATATTGAAGACGAAGTATGTGATGAGAAATCCCTGTGCGCTATGCCGCTCGCTCACATTCTGCCGTAGGCGGGAAACGTGATTTGCTTCATTGATGAACTTCGTGAGTAGTTCTTGCGCAAATTCCAGCTCGATTTATGCTAACAGAGACGCAGACACGCTCTTCAACCTTGGCAAAGCGGAAGGCAGCATCGACGCTGGACAGATGATCAAGCCTGCGCTTGCCCGCGGCCTTCAGCTCGTCGGCGCGACCACGCGTAAGTATAATATACATTGCCGCAGAGTCCCTTGAGCTGACCACGTCCTTCAGCGGACGAGTTCCGGAAGACCATTGGTAAAGACGCCGCGCTCGAGCGTCGATTCCAGCCCGTGCAGATCGACGAGCCTACTGTCGAGGCGACGATTTCTATCCTTCGTGGTCTCAAGCCCCGCTACGAGGTACACCACGGTGTCGGTATCTCTGACGGCGCCCTCGTCACAGGTAAACCTTATTCTCCCCGCGCACTGCGAGCCTCGCTGACGTCTCACCCTACTACTAGCCGCGGTATACAGCTCGCGCTACATCTCAGACCGCTTCCTCCCCGACAAAGCGATCGACCTCGTCGACGAAG